GGAGGGCACGCCAGACAAGTCGCGGGGTCCAAACTCCAGCAAACAAGCCTTCGCAACGCCCGCCCAGGGCCTCAGCCCACGCGCGACTGGCCAGAAACAAGCCCGTGCGGGGGCGCGGGCGCGCGAGGGCGCAGGCGCAGTGCACACCCAGTCGCTCCCGAGCGCCCAGCGGTGACGTCAGAAGCGGGGCGGAGCTCCGAAGCCTTTCCCGACCCTTCGTGTGAGTTTCAGGACACCTCGCGAGATCTCTCACGGAACCCGTCGCGCGACTCTCCTCACAGTGATGGGTTCGGGCTCCCCGGCTTCCGGTGGGGGGGGGGCGGAGCGGAGAGACAGGAAACTGGACGTGAAGGCCTGAGGCAAACCGGCGTGTTGGGGCGAGACGGCCGGGCTCGGCTTTTAGGGTGCAGGGAGCGGTTGGGGCCCCAGCGCGGAAGTGGGTTGCGCTTCCCCTGACACGACTCTGGGAGAAGGCTCGGAAGTCGAGGCGCCGCGGGGCTGACGGGGCGGTGCGCTTCCGCCCTGCTTCGCGTCTCCCTTTCTAGAACGAAGTTAGACAAGCTTCCCGCAGACAGGTGCGGCTGCTCGGAGGCAAATCGCGCGTTCGCACGGCCGGTCCTTCGGCCGCTCCTGGCAGGACTGCTTACATTCTAGTTTTCCCCGCGGACTGAATAGGACCAGTTTGAATTCATTGACTGGTCCCCTGGAAAGGTGGAGTGGGCGCTGAGCGAGCCGGGTCCCTGACGACCTTCGGAGCCCTCTGCTCCGGGCGCTGTTCCTCCCAGGGTGGTAAACACCTGCGGGACTCTGCGCCTTTTTCACAGCAGGAGTTAGAGAGTAACAAAAAAGAAAAGCGAATTCAGGCTACAACACTGTATTATTTCTGCGAGCTGTGATGACTGCCGAGGTCCACCAGAACGGGTTTCACTCGTCTTGGGGTCTGCCGGAATGGAAGTTTACAACACAGATTATCACATCTTTCGCCCGGGCGCGGTTTTTGTTTTGTTTTGTTTTGGTACAGGGAAAAAATTACCAGGGTAGTTGTGGTTCAGCTACCCACAAAGAATGAGAAAGTCATAAGACAGTTGCAGATGTCTCGTTTTCCCGCGCGCGCATTTGTGTATATACAAATGATCTCCAAGTTCCAACCAGTTCCAACTTCCATTCTCTAAGCGTCAGTTTCTTAAGTCACAATATTTTAAAAGGGAGGACAAGCATGATCATCATGAACTTAAGGGGGCAAACAGGCCTGGTTATGTATGTGAAACCCACCTTCAGTTAAATGAATTTACTGAAACTCTCTGAAATTCAATTGCCACATCTATAGAAATGGGAATCGCAAATAAACTGATTTCAACACTCCCTATATGAGATGGTTCACCAAACATCACAAGTAAGTGTGAACAACTGGATAGTTTGAAAAAAAAGAAAAAAAAAAGAGGTACCAGATTTGAAACCCACAGAAAACCACATCCCGGAGTAGATGTGGAGCAGGGCACTCTCCCAAACTGACAGTTCTTAGGTTTTGAAAAACTGTGGGGGAGGGGGAGAGGAAGTATCTAGTGAAGTTAAAATTTCACACACCCAATGGCAGCCAAGGCCACCCCTTACGTTCTTAAAGAATGCTTTCTGTACAGCACAAAGGGTGCAGAAAATGTTCATTCTAACTGTCACACTTGAACAAGATTTGCACTCCTGGGTTGATGGCTGGGTCTGGAAGGTGGGCTTTCGGTAACTGGAGAGCTGCGCTCAGGTCATTCCTGCCTGGGGTTATGTAAGCTGAGGTGCTTTTTGTCTGTTTCCTGGCTTCCTATTTGACTCCCTCTGCTATTCTCGGCCAAGATGCATAAATCAGCTGGGCTGTCCAATCTTGGAGTCTGAACTTACTTGACAAAAATAAACTTTCTTCTTTCCTAACAAGTTTCTCTTAAGTATTTTAGTTAAGATGATGAAAAGCTAACTCATTAGTGTAAAACTGTTACTAGCCCAAACATTCATCAGTACTAGAATTAGAATAAGTCAATTGTGGTATGTTGATTCAGTGAACTATCCGCTATGCAGCACGTGGAAGACTCCACAGCATAATGACAGGAATGAACACACTCAGAACGTGGAGTAGAATTACAGAGTCCTAGTGAAATTAAACAGATGCACCTGCCAAGGCAAAACTACACAGTGAAGGAACATGAGCATGAAAGGCTGGCAGTTACAAAGAGGAAAAGATAGAATGTTCTGTGAGGAAAGGGTTGGCTTGTGAACTGCTAAAAATTAGCTACTTCCTGACCTTGGTGATGATTACAAAAGTGCATATTTACTCACTTTTCTGTCTATAAGAAAATTACTTAGATGTGCAAAAATAACTGTCTACCTTTAAAGTAAACAAATAGGCCAGCATTGTGGTCTAACAGGTAAAATCGTGCCGGAGTCCAGCTCCAGCTGAGTTCAGAACTCATGAAGGCTATGTGGATGAGGCACAAAGAGGAAAGACAGACCAATAGGATTTCATGATCATAATGGACAATGCGAGAAAGCTGCCCACTTTATTTATACAGAAACAGCCAAACTCTGGTTCAGACTTTTTACGTCATGGTCTAGTGGGTGTTTCTAAGGATAATTCTGCCATTTGTTTTACCTAAAAACAATAGAAGTTCCTGCTACAATTCTTATTCTGCAACTTAATCTTGTATCACAAAGAAAAGGAGAACCTAAAGATCAAGGAAAGAATGAAAGCCTAAATATAGGCCCCTTGATTAGCATAAGGTCAATGGGAATAGCCAAGACAGTAGGAATAATAGAAGGCCCTTTTGCAAGATGTTATTATTGACATTAACCTTCAAGCTCACATTGAGTAAAAAAGCCAACTCCACAGTAGCAAACAATGCCTGGATGGATTAGAATTGTGCCACAGGGTGGTCTGGTGTCCATGCAAAAGAAGGTGGAGCTGCATTCAGGTGGCTGTAGAGACCACTGGGCCCTGCCAAACAGCAGGAAGTTCCTTGCAGCCCTGCCTGCAATGGAACAATACTCTTCATACCTTCGCATCCCCCCACATCCACTGCACTGACCCCAACAAAATCGCAGTCTGTAATATCAGCATCTCACACGGACTCTATTCATATCCCATGTGTTCCACCTGCTGCACTTCCAAAAAAACAGAAGGCGGCCCACGAGAGACCTGATGAAACTACTGGCCATTGTGGTCATTTGGGGAGTGAGCCAGCAGATGGAAGATGTGTCCCTTTGTGTTTTTTTTTTTTTTTTAAATCTTACTGCCCTTTTCTATTTGTCCTTCAAAGCTATAATTTCCTAGCTCCCTCTTCACTTTCACCTTGGGTTCTGTCCCACTTGCTACCTTCCCAGGTTGACAAAGAAATATGAAGAAAGCTGGAGTATCTTCATAATGCATCTCTCACCACCTACTAGTTTGGAAAACATTCTGGTCCAAGACAAACTGACTCCAACGTAAGGACTATGTGCCCTCATTCCATTAGAGCAAATCCTCTGTGCCTGTTTTTAATGAACAACATCAGACTCTATGCTTCTCAGGAAAGCTGCCAAGATTCCCCAAAGATTTATGTACTAACAGCACTATAAACACAAAAACCAATTATAAACTTCTACCATAATTGATGGTTGTTTCAATACTTGATACTAGCTGCCTTTAAAGCAAGGATTCTTTTTAAAACTCAAAGTGATAGTGACAATAGTTAACTCCCCCCAAAGCCAGTGGTTTAGTCCCGCCTCCAGGTGTCACTGTTTGAATCACTGGAGCCCCAGGAAGGCAGCTTCCCAATAAGCCTACTCAGGTTGGACTCTATTGGAGAGGATGCACACAGGCCTGATGGAAGGCTAGGCTTTCCTAGAGGGCAGGACACAGGGACAGACACATCCACATGGTCAGAATCATACACAATTCAGTGAGCCACCGCCAAAGTGATCCGCCCATTTGGCTGCCGTTTTAAATTGTAGCAATATGTATTGGCTGTTTTTACTTAGTTGAGAGACAGGAACACAGAGAAAGAAACAGAGAGCATTGACCTTGCCAGTTTACTGCCCAAATATCTCCAACAGCTGGAGCCCCAAACCCAATCCTGGTCTCCCAGGAGTGGCACAAATCCAAGTATTTAAACCATCACCTCCCAAACTGGTGCATTAAAAGAAAGCTGGATTGGAAGTGGAGCTTGGACTCAAACTCAGGCACTTGAATAAGGCATGCAGGAATCCTAAACAATGGCTTAACCCCTGTGATACATATCCACTCCTGGATACAATGTTAACAACTTTTCATGACTCTTTTAATCTGGATTATTAAGGTGTTTTGTAAAAGCATGCAAGTAAAATGTTCGACATTATTATGAATAGATCATATCAATATATTTTTGTTATTGTGGTTTTATTCCTAACTTTCATTACAGATTTTCCTAACAATATGTGGGGGCTTTTGGGGAAAGGCTGAGCAGATTATTTAATCACAGTAGCAGCCAAATATTAGACATAGCATTTGAGATGAATCAACACTTGATTAAAAAACTTTTGCTATCTTCTGTTTTGCTTTCCTTCTTTCCTTTTTTTTTTCAAATTTTGAGAGGTGAGCGGTGGGGGACAAAAAGAGAGAGAGCCCATCCTCCTAAGTTCACCTCCCAAAGGCCTGCAATGGGCTAAAACTGATTGTAGCTGAAGCCGGAACCGGAACTCAATGAAGGTCTGCTAGGTGGATGGCTGGAAGCCAGCCACTGAGAGTCTGCAACATCAGGAAGCAGCAGTTAGGAAACAGACCAGGCACTGAATCCTGGGTATCCTAATGAGCATCTTTACCATGTTCACCATTGACATTCACTGCCTCATCTGGTTCCTACAATTGCATCAAATAGATTCTGTCAATATGCAAAAGTTACAGACTCAGAAATGTCAAACTTACGGCTGTATCAGGTGATCTGACATCAGAATTCATCTTACATAGACCTTATTAACATATGAAAAACAGACCAATATAACCCATCAAATTGACAAGTATATTTATTGCACAAATTTCCCCCACAACTGGGAGATTATTATAATACAGGTGTACATTTGAGAAATGTATTCAGAACAAGGAACAAATATGTACATTTTATATATCCATCATCTAAAATAACTTAGAGAAAGCAGAACATTCTCATAAGATATATACCAAAAGTAGGCATTATGTAAAATCTGGGTTGGTTTTTTTTTAGTAATTATCCCCAATGTATGCCAACTGCAACAAAATGAAATCTGTACTAGTATGTTTATTGCACTTAACATTTTCAAATTCAAAATTAAGACACATTAATTAATGTTAGGAAGATTTAAAATCAAACCAATTAGTTTATATACAAGGAAAAATTAGTTTTCATTCTATGATGTAAAAGATCCCTTTTTCATTTCCTGTTACAACAAACAGGATTTTTTTGATATGTAACACATACCTGTCTGTACCATAAGAAGTTGAAAAAATTATTTCGTATGTGCCAAAATTCTTTTCACACTCATCAGAATGATTATAGACCTTAACGACGCAGCAGCTTACTCCTTGGGCTTTGTGTAAGGACAAATGACTATGAGGAAGGTACCAGAAATTACAGAAGGATTAGGAATTATAAAACTCAGGAATCCTATAAGGATTGATTCTGGAAGAAATTAAATACCTTTTCCTTCCCAGCAAAGCTTATTTTTAAAGTAACAATAACATGAGCCATCTACTTATTCAAGACAAGATGAATTTAGAATTCCTAAACAGTAATGTTATTAGATATTTCAAACAGACTGAAAATAGTTTGATGGTTAAGAAAATACCCAGAAATAGAAATTATCTAGCTGCTACATATTATACTGAGCTACAATCAAAAAAAATTTTAATGGACATACAGATTTTTCTATATCCTGAATTCTGCCAAAGAAATTTACAGAATTCCAAAAACAGGTGACAGAAGAATTCTGGTAATGAATGAAATAATTAAATTAAGCCAAAGAAAAAATTATCCATAAACACTCTTTGGCTACAAGTCATCCATGGGAGACTCAGGTACTAATTAAGGACAACATAATAGGAAATGGAACATAAAGACTGGCAGGCACACTGATTTCTAGGTTACATTCCATTAAAATAACCCCTTCTTTGTGTACTTGGAGATCTCTTGAACACATAAAAACAAAGCAAAAATGTAATCCAATGCTATAAATTCAAGGTCAAAGACTAAAGAAATCACAGAAAATGTCCATTCATTACAAAAAATTTAAATAGCCAGAATGGATGTGTTATACAACAAATGTATTTTCTTTAGTTCATCAACTATGAAAATATTTAATGAAAGGAGATACCAACTTTACTTCTAGCAATTAAGAATATCTTAGATCAGACAAGCAAAGAACAAACTACAATATAGTATTCAAGTGAACTGAGGTAGTAGAGCATATTGAAAACCATACCTACCCATCCTTCTATTTACATTACTTAGACGAGTTTGGTTCCGTGTTCGCCTTTCTTACAAGCAGTGCTCTATAGCACATACAAAGACAACAACTGCAAAGCAGAAATCTAGGAAAGAAACCAGCTTCTGGAAGACTGGAGCTCTTAACAAAAATAATTATGAGTTTCAGGAGTTCCGTTAGTGTAAACTGAATGTTATTAAGCACTGAAACAAATGTCTGGCTCCTGTGGGTTCAAGAAGGGCTGATACTGAAAGCAAAGGCCTCAGCTACCTGAGCACTTCTGAAAGAAAACGGCATTATGTTTTCCAATGCTGTGGAGCAATTTTTAACCCTAATTTCCACTTATTAAATTAGGGAATATGAATTGATAAGAATTAGGTCATAAACAAACAGTATAAAGTTGCATTATTTTGGGAATCTAAATACTATAGCCTTATAAAAGATTGGCTTGATTTGTAGAGTGTGTGAAACAGAAAAATTACCAGATAGTAGTAACATTTCAACATTACTTACAATAATAACTGCAAATATTTTTTTTAAAAAAGGCTTGTTTTACCAATCTTGTGTTTCTATTTCACACTTTAAAAAAAAAATAGGTACATATGTACACTTTGTTGGGCAACACACACATTTACACTATATTATTCTTAGTTTGTTATAATTAATAGGTTGTTAAACAACCTGAAATTAACTGTGTTGAATTATAAAACAAAATAAATAATCAAGGTTTTATAGATTTCTGTACCTTAGAAATAAAGAAAAGAGAAAACCAATGAAAATTTCTGAGCCATTTAAATCATGAGACATCTGTTGGCATTGATGAGCTTGATGTACATCACAGTCATCATAGGAAATTGTAGAAATTTCTCTTACACTTTGGTTGTTTCAAGTGCTTTATCCCAAAATTATTTATGCTACTTTAGTTTCACTAAGTTAAAAATCTACCAGCGCCCACAAGTCCCATTAAAAAGAAAAAAAAAAAAATCCAATGTATACAGATAGGAAATGCAAGACTGGATACCCAGACAACTGCTCATTCAGACGGAAGTGTAACAGGAACAAATCTACACAAGTACATTTTGTGTCTGCTTCCTCCTTTTTTACTTAATTTTCCTCCAAAGTTAACCTTAAGTCAAGTTAAAGGAGTATCTGAGCAACATAAGGAGAATGAGTGCTTGCTACAGCAGCCAGAAGAGGAAGGTCACTGGATTCAATCCTGAAATGAAGAAAAAAGCTCTGGTTAGCCTTTCTGTAAACCTAGAAAATGACTCCCTCAGATAGTTAACCACTACCAGTTATGTCATTCAACTCAGTAGTTAGGAAGCTATTCTGAACAAAAGGAAGATAGCAAGAGAGCTGGCAAAAATGAGATCCAAAGATTTAAAATTTAAAAAAAAAAAGCCCCAGAAACTAATCAAGGTAATGAAGTCATGAATGCAGGAAAGCATGGTGATGGACCATGAGTTTCGGAAAGGCACAGTATCTAAAAGTACAACATAGCACAACTAACAGAACAACTGTGTGCACCTAGACTATTTTGGATAAAATGTTCCTGCAATAAGACATACTGGAAAAATAATAGAAGCTTCTTAAAAATATATCTTAGCGGGCTGAGCATGATGGCCTAACTACTTAATCCTCCTCTTGCAAGCTCCAGGAAACCATATGGGTGCCAATTCATATCCCAGCTGCTCTACTCCCCACCTAGCTCCCTGCTTATGGCCATGAAAAATAGAAGATGGCTGAAAGCCTTGGGACCCTGCACCCATGTGGGAGACTTGAAGAAGCTCCTGGCTTCAGATCAGATCAGCTCAGCTCAGGCTGTTGCAGCCACTTGCGGAGGGAACCAGCAGATGGAAGATCTTCCTCTCCTTCTTTCCATAAATCTACCTTCCCAATCAAAATAAATAGATCTTCATATACGTACATATATACAAAACCTACCAAAATTTACAGGAAAACAGCCTATAAATGAAAAAGTGACTCAGACTAAGTCATGTTTAGAGAAATCTGAATAAAATGAGATCACTTTCCAGCTAATACTATAGCAAATATTTTAAAAATTGGTAATAGTTATGATTACAGTCTTCCTCTGAATGTTGCTGGAAACCAGTGCTTTTCACATAATATTCTGTGTTATTTACTAAAACGCCTGTAAAATTTTAAATACACAGGACCATTAACAAAGAATTCTATTCAACGAATTTAGCCTCCAAATTACAAACATTTATAATATTCATCCCAGCACTGATTTTAACAACAAAACACTGGAACTAATGCAAATCACAAGACACAAGGGAATGCTATACAATCACTAAGAAGGAGATATACTCATAACGAACATTTCAGTTTCATTAAAAGGCAATTTATGACACATAAACATAAATCAATTTCATTGAGGATAAGTAACCGGTTACCAGTGTTTGGGTAGGGGTTAGGAACAGGGGAGAAGAAAGTCACAATTTACTTTTAATTTTATGTCAATATACACTGAACTAGTTGAAGCTTTAGTAATGGCTTTAAATTCCCTTTCTCTCCTCCTCCTTTCCCACCAACAAATATTATATCCTGTTACTCAAATCCAGAAGAGTGGAGAACCATTCTCTGTGTACTCCTTAAGTAAAAGGTCACAATAGAACTTGAACAACAGTGTTGTCTTGATATTTAAATAGGATCAGTAGTCTGAAAGAAAAGGAGTCACTCCAATTTTTATTGGTATGTGACATATGGCATTTTTAACCTATTGGATCATGCATTTCCAGTCTGTGTGAATTACCAGCTCCCTGCTTGTGACCTGGGACAGGATGGTCCAAGCCTTGAGACCCTGCACCCTCGTGGGAGACCCAGAAGAAACTCATGGCTTCTGGCCTTGGATCTGCTCAGCTCTGGCCCTTGTGGCCACTTGGGAGTGAACCAGAAGATCTTTCTGTTATCTCCTTCTCTCTATTAATCTGCCTTTCCAATAAAAATAAATCTTAAGAAAAAAATTGTCCTTTATTGCATTCTGACTATGCTGTCAACATACTATATGTAATGGGCACAAGGGACCATGCCTCTCAGATCAGGCTGATAGGAAAATGCCTTAGAATACAGTAACCTTGGGCCCAGCAGCGTGGCCTAACAGCTAAAGTCCTCGCCTTGAGTGCACCGGGATCCCATATGGGCACCGGTTCTAATTCCAGCGGCTCCACTTCCCATCCAGCTCCCTGTTTGTGCTTGGGAAAGCAGTCGAGGACGGCCCAAAGCCTTGGGACCCTGCACCCGCCTGGGAGACCTGGAAGAGGTTCCCGGTTCCCAGCTTTGGATCGTTGTGGTCACTTGGGGAGTCAATCATCGGATGGAAGATCTTTCTCTCTGTCTCTCCTCCTCTCTGTATATCTGACTTTAATAAAAATAAATAAATCTTAAAAAAAAAAAAAGAACAGAGTAACCTCAATGGAAACAATGTCTAGTTTCTACATCAGGTAAAGGCACTTGGGGGGAAAACTCTGAGAAACACTCTTTGCCTTGCAGAAAATAAAGCCCAACAGGAAACCAGAAACATACCCGAGCACAACTCCCAGCTCCTTGACATGAACACGCATTTGCCCCCGAAGGTACTCAGACAGCATTTTGCTCTTGAAGTACAACTCCTGCAGCCGGTCTTCAAGATGCATGACACACTGTAGTCATGAGAGGGAACCAAGAAGGAGTCAGTTTCCTATCCAACCCCCAGTGAATACACACTCCAAGCATCATATCGGTACAATTCTATTTAGTTAATACAAAAAAAAAAGTATAATTTTGCATACATTTTTATAGTATGTAGTTTTAGCTACAAGAGCATGTGAACCTTTTTCTGGCCCATATAAGATTGCCCTCCACAGGGCTTTTTAAATTGTGTTAAAATGCAAGTGACATAAAATTTACTATTTTAACCTTTCTCAAGTGTGTCCAAGTGTGTCTTTCAGTGATATTACATTAAAATGTTGTGGAAGCATTATCACTACTCATTTCCAGAACTCTGAAATAATATTTTTATTTCAAATTTGAAAAATATGTTAGCTCTTACAAACTGATACATTTCAAATGTATTTTGTCATGAAAGGCTGGTTATTGCTTCTTTAAGGCTTCATTTATTTGCTTGTTTGAAAGTTAGGATTACAGCGAGAGACGGGGACAGAAATCTTCCATCCACTCTCCCGGTAGCCACAACCACCAGGGCTCAGCCGTGCAGAACTCAGGACCCCTTACTGGTTCTCCTATATTAGTGGCAAATGCCCAAAACACTTGGGCCATCCTCTACTGCCATCCCAGGCCATTAGCAAAGAGCTGGATTGGAAGTGGAACAGTCAAGACACAAACTGGTGTTCATGTGGTAATACCAGCATGGCAGATGGTGGTTCAATTTGCTGGTTCCAAAGAGATGCTTCTAAGCTAAAACATCAAATACTATAGCATAAACATTTTGTTTATCCTCAATTAACTTGTTCAATTTACTAAAGGTGACTTTTCAGATAAACTGGTTCAAAGTATAGTCACAATTTTCAAAAAGTGCTGTTCTGGTGTTAAAATAGTTAATTCTCAATGTATACCATTCCAACAGTAACAAGCAACTGAAAAAAGTTCTAAAAACTCTTTTTCTTGGAAAAGTATAACTTTTCTTGGCTCACTCACTGTTTTGTGGCATATATTTCTTTTACAATGCTTGTTTAGACAGAAATACCTCAAGAAGAAAATGTTAATAAATATATGTAAATACAAAATATGTATTACGATGTGCCCGTGTTAACCTGTTTAAGTTGTATAATTTCGTGCTAGTCAATTCACTCAAAATGCTGTGAAACCATCACCACCATCCACTTCCAAACAAACTAAAAACAATAAAAACAATAACTGCTCATTTCCTACCCTACCACCCCCTGCCCTACTTATAACTGTTCTGTCATTTGTGTGTTTGATGAATGTAATCATTTGGGATACTGCATGTTAAGCGTGATTTTACAGTATCTGTCCCTTTGTATTTGGCTTACTTGACTGTTTCTGAGGCTTAGCATGTATTAGAATTCCTTTTACAGCTTAATAAACATTGCACTAGATGTATATTTTATATATTCATATATTTGATCTTGGACTCCAGGGTTCTTTTAAGATTCTATTTATTTTTTTTTTTTGAGTTTTAAATTATTTTTTATTGGAAAAGCAGATCAGATTTACATAGAGGAGAGACAGAGAAAGATCTGTGTCCGCTGATTCACTCAAGTGGCAGCAACGGCCAGAGCTGAACCCATCTGGAGCCAAGAGTCAGGAGTTTGTTCCGGGTCTCTTACATGGGTGCAGCTTTGGACCATCCTCCACTGCTTTCCTTGCCACACGCAGGGAGCTGGACAGGAAGTAGAGCAGCCAGGACACAAACCAGCACTCATATGGGATTCCCAGTGCTTGCAAGGTGAAGATTTAGCCACTGAGGCATCGTGCGAGGCCCTTATATTGAAAGGCAATAGCACAGAGAGACATGGAAAGACATAGGGATGTTCCATCTCTTCATTACCTGTCCAATGACTACAGTAGCCACATCTTGTCCAGGCTGAAGGCAAGGCCTGGCAACATCATCTTGGTCTCACATGGAGTCCAACAGGAAGCTGATCAGAACTCATTACTCAGCCAGGATCCAGTGATCCTAGCACCCCAACTGATTCTGAACTGTGGGACTACAAACAGTGGCTGAACCTACTGTAATACTTAGTTGGCTCCCACTTGAGTGATGAGCTTTTTAATATATATATTTTTTCTAATTTTCGGAAAAATTTGAGAGGGACAGTGAGACAGAAATAGATGTCTTCCGTCTGCCAGTTCACTCCCCAAATGGCCACAATGGCCTCAGCTTGGCCAGTCCAAAGCCAGGAGCCAAGAGCTTCTTCTGAGTCTCTCACGTGAGTGCCACAATCCAAACTGCTATAACTGTTAAGGCCATTAGCAGGGAGCTGAATTGGTAGTGGAGCAGCTGGAACTTGAACTGGCTCCCATATGGGAAGCCAGCAGTGTGGTTAGCAGGTCTACAAGCTACATCCCAACACTGACCCCTACTTGGATTTCTAACTCTGGCTATCATGACTAATGCTACTTGAGCATCAGCATAAATTTATCTATCTGAATTTTGTGGTGTATAAGTGTAGAGCTGATGGATCATGTGCTAAAATTTTGAGTACCTGCACTTTTTCATATTTCAATCAGTGCTACAAGGGTTCCAAGTCCTCTACACCTTGGCTAACAGTTACCATTGGGTTTTTGTTGTTCTTTTTAATGATTGTCATCCTTATTGTAGTTTGGTTTGTATTACTCTAATATCAAATGATACTGAACACATATTTTTAGATTTTTTTAAATTCATTTTATTTGAAGGCAGAGGGAAAGAGTGAAATCTTCCATCTGCTTGTTCATGACAATAAATGCCTGCAGGAGTCATGACCGTGACACTGAGGCTAAGAACCAGGAACTCACTCCAGATTTCCTACATGGGTGCAGGGACCCAAGTATTCAAGCTGCCTCCCAGAGTACACAGTAACTGGAATTGCAATCGGAGCTAGGACTCAACCCACACATTCTTCATTGCTTTTTTTTTTTTTTTTTTTTACTTTAACAATTACTTATTTATTTGAAAGAGTTAGTAGGAACGGTGTCTGTGTATGTTTTCTGCTGGTTCAGTCCCCAAGTGACCGCAATGGTCAGGACTGGGTCAGCCCCAAGCCAGGAGTCAGGAATTTCAATCGGGTCTCCCATTTGGGTGCAGAGAGGGCAATATGCCCTTGGGCTATGTTCCACTGCTTTTTCAGGCATATAAGCAAGGAGCTGGATGGGAAGTGGAGCAGCTGCAGGGGACTGCAAATAGCACCCATATGGATGCTAACACTGCGGACAGTAGTAGAATATGGAAACTCTCTTCCTCTGTAACTGTGCCTTTCAAATAAATAAATAAATCTTAAAAAAAAAAAAAAGAAAGAATTACAGAGAGAGAGAGGGCAAGTTTCTAGATCATAGCAATGACCAAAGCTAGGCCAAGCTGAAACCAGGAGCCAGAAACTTTGTCCAGGTGTCTCATGTAGATAACAGTGGCCCAAACACTTGGGCCATCTGGTACTGCTTTTCCTAGACCATGAGCAGCCAAAACAAGAACTGTGCCAATATGGTACACTGGATTCCAAGGTGGCAAACTTACCCACCATTCCACAAACCTGACCCAAAACTGCAGTTCTTTACTTAGTCCAATATGACTGAATAATAGGGACACACATTAAGAAAGGTGTCTAAGTGATTTCATTATTGTGCAAACTTCATAGCATGTACTGAAACCTAACTAGCACAGGTCAATCACTCCACATGATCTGTTAAAAAGATTACCATCTCTGTGAATGACCTGGGGCCACATGCTAAAAATCAAAAAGACTGTATTTAAAGGTTTATTTTTGGATTCTCTATTCCATTCTTGTGTATGCTGCACTATATACTAGTACTACAATGTTCTGATTACTAAGGAGCTTTATAGTAAGTTCTGAATTTTGAAATTCTGAATCCTTGAACTTTCTCTTTTTTAAAAAATTATTTTGGCTTTTTTTTTGGGGGGGGTCCCTTGAGATTTTTTTTAATTTTTACTTATTTTCCTTGAAAAGTCAGATATACAGAGGGGAGACACAGAGCAGAAGATCCTCCACCTGCTGATTCACTCCCCAAGTGGCCAGAATGGCTGGAGCTAAGTCAATTTGAAGCCAGGAGCCAGGAGTCTCCCCTGTACCTCCCACGGGTGCAAGGTTCCAAGCCCTTGGGCTGTACTTGACTAACTTCCTAGGTCACAAGCAGGAAGCTGGTAGGGAAGTGGAGCTGCCGGGATTAGAACTGGCACCCATATGGGATCTGAGTGCATGCATGGCAAGAACTCCAGGCACTAGGCTACCACACCAGGCTTGTCCCCTAAGATTTTTAAGATGGCAAAAGTCACTGGGAATTTTACAGGGATTGTATTCAACCAGGAAATCACTTTGGAAGTAGTAATATCTTAGTAAATTTGCCTTATAATCCAATATATTTCTATTTTGCTTATTTATGCCTTTAATTTCTTTGATCAATGTTTTTGCAGTTTTCAACCTACAACCTTCGTGGTTAAATTTACTCCTAAGTTATTCTTTTTGATACTATTTTAACTATTTTCTTCATTTCCTTTTTATATTGCTCATTAGTGTATAGGAGTTTTTATATCTCATAATCTGCAAAGTTACTATCTACATAGTGAAGTTTTTTGTGGTTTCTTTAGATTTTCTAATTATAGAAAGATCATTCTTCTGCAATCAAAAATAATTTTACTACTTTTCCAATTTTAAAGTCTTTGGCGTCTTTTTTTGTTTTTGCCTAATCTCTCTGGCCCAAACTTCTCAATGTCATTTTGCACAGAAGTAAAAATAGGCATTGTTGCCCTGTTCCTCATTTTAGGGAAAAAACACAATCTTTCATGATTGAGTATGATGTTAGTTAGCTATTGCTTTGTCATAAACTGATTTGTACAGAGTTTACAATCATGCTATTTTATTATTCTCCTAACAAGAGAAATAATACTAAAAGTGACAAATGTGTCCTTCTTTAGTAACAGATTAGCAGTACTACAAAGCCTGAGATGACCACAAGAGTCTAGAATGCAATGGCATTCCATACTAACCTTGGAGATGCTGCACAATCAAACATTCTGATTGCTGGGGCAGATTTCTGGGCTATAAAGATATCCGCTAAGATACCCAAGTACCCTCTCTTCTGATACCCAACTCTGTTCCCAACTCCAGCTTCCTGCTGAAGCAGATGCTGGGAGAGAAAGCACTGATGTCTCCAGAAGCTGGGCCCCACCACCTACACAGGAGACTGCGATCGAGTTCCTAGTTCCTTGCTTGGCTCCTGCCTACTCCAAGCAGCTTCAGCCATCTGAGGAGTGAACTGACAGATGGGAGCTTCTTTTTTCTGTGTGTGTCCTTGTCTATTTGTCTCTGTGCTTTTCAGAAAACAAACAAAAAAATACAAAAACACTCTGGCTTCTAAAATCCAAATATACAGACGTACTATTCCTGTTCTGCATTGACTTGGGCTGCCATAACAAAGTACTATAGACTTAGCACCTGGAAAACAGGTATTTACAGATGGTAAAGTACACAGTTGGGTTCTGCTGGGGGTTCTCTACCAGTCTAGCAGTTGGCTGCCCTCTCACGGGAGGAAAGGAGGGAGGTGTGAACCACATACTGGGGAGTGAATCTATCCCTCTCCCTTCCTCTACTCACTGACCTATGAATTCCTTTCTGAGGATCCCACCATTAAGACCTATATCATCTTAGTTGTATAAGTTCCTATGTGCAAAGTCCCTACCTCCAAACACTGTCATACTGGAAACTGGAACTTCAATGTATGAATTTGGGGGGCAGTATGGTAGATAAACATTTAGTCCATAACACATTCTTTCAGAAAAAAACAAGACGATATATCTAGCAGCAGTATTGAATGCAAGCATATGATAACTAGTTCAGTCATTTATCATAGCATGTACAGTAGTTCAAGTCTCACACATACTTACAAAATTTGGAGATAAATTATGCTTATAAAGCTGAAGAGTGGAATGAAGCAGGTTGGAAACAAGACTGGAAACTAATACTTCTTTTCCCAATTTATTATCAGACACTCGTCTCTGGCTACTGGCGACCTGTACAGTCCATTTATCCATATCAGCTATGATACACACAGCTTCTGCTATTGGTTCATCCAACACTGGATGCTGGGAAAAAGAAAGAAGAACACATCTAAAAATGAACAAGTAAATTTTCCAAAGATAAGGTAAATGGAATGAAGCTTTGAAGAAATACTAAACAGAAAACAAAAAAACGAAACTAAATCCTAATAGCCACAGCCAAAGAACCCTTCACAGAGAAGGATAGAATAGTTAATTTAGGAGCAAATACTGTTATGTCTTATTTAAAAAATCACAAGTACACACTTTTTGTTCATTAACAGAATTTTGTATTCATTAATCTGTAACTTAACTTTCACCAGTCTTTTGATCATTCAATCATTTATGAGATAAATTTACATGACTCAGAGTACGCATGAAATGTACTATATGGCTTTCCAAGACACATTCCTAAATAAAACACAAGTCACTACAAGTACACATACACACACCTAATTTACTCCAGTTGTTGTTTTTGATTTATTTGAAAGGCAAAGTTAGAAAGAGAGAGAAAGCATGTAAGACAGCAAGAATGAGAGAGAGAGCGAGAGAGAGAGTGTTATCGTCCATCCATTGCTTCATTCTCCAAAAGGTTTCAATGTCTAGAACTGGTCCAGACTGAAGCTAAGAGCCAGGAGGTTCTTCCAAATTTCCCATATGGGTGCAAAGGCTCAAATACTTGAGCCATCTTCTGCTGCTTTCCTAGGCACATTAGCAGGGAGCTGGATCCACAGGGGAGTATCCAGGTCCCAAAAAGGACCACACACGGGATACTGTCACTCCAGGGGGCAGCTAAACATACCAGTCCTATCAGTTAGCTTTTTTTTTTTAAGATTTATTTATTTTTACTGGAAAGGTGGATATACAGAAAGGAGGAGAGACGGGGAAGAGCCTCCATCCGATGGTCCATTCCCCAAGTGGCCACAACAGCTGAAGCTGAGCCAATTTGAAGCCAGGATCCAGGAGTTTTTTCCAGGTCTCCAGGAGTTTTTTCCAGGTCTCCCACGTGGGTACAGGGTCCCAAGGCTTTGGGCCAGCCTGAACTTCTTTCCCAGGCCACAGGCAGGGAGCTGGATGGGAAGTGGGGCCACTGGAATTAGAATCAGGGCCCATATAGGATCCTGGCACATTCAAGGCGAGGATCTTAGCCACTAAGCTACCGGGCTTCGTCCCCCTAGAAGTTATTTTTTAAAAAATAAAAGAAAATCAGACCTGTATCAAAGTGGAAACATACAAAAAAAAGAGTACAAATAATCATCAAGTTCTTTAATAACATGGTGATTTATGAAGAATTAGGATTATCAAGAGGGTAAATGCTTCTACATTTTATTCTGTAAATCTTTATGTTGCTTACATTTTTTTTTCACAAATATACACACAAAGGATATTTTCTAACATTTACAGCTACTGCAGTTATACAACTAAACATAACCCAGAGTTAGTATCCCTAAAGGATATCCTTTGGATATAATGAACCACTCTGAATAAAGCTCTTTCCTAAACAGAAGACAGTGCTACTCACAGTCTTGTGAAGGAAATAAAAACTATACAGAGCCAATTAAACAAGCAAACGTGTTACTGATAGCGCAGGACTCAACTGCTACTAAGGGTAATAATGGGATCTGTGTGACAGAAGGCTTTGCTGCGTAAAGGTGCACGGACATTGAAATAACCTGTAGTTAAGATTTTCATTTTCAAAAAGTTTTAGCCCAGAAGGAATCATGGATGAATTCTACCAAACATTTAGAAAAAAAAAAAATCATACCAATTCTCCAGGAACAAATCTCAGAAAATAGAGAGAGGCCTAGTCCTTAAATTACCCTACATGGCAGTATTAATTACCCTTACAGCAAAGCCACAAAAAGATATCGCAAGAAAATAAAAAACAAGACCAATATCCTTCATGAATACAGACTTAAAGATCTGCAACAAAATATTAGTCAAATCTGGCAAAAAAGAAAAAAGATTATTTCTATGACCAAATTAAAATTTCTCCCAAGAACACAGTTTATTATCTAAAAATCAATCAGTTGTAATCTTGACAGTAATAGTTAAAAGAAGAAAAACTACTGATATCTCACAAGACAGATAAAATCAGCTGGCAAATTCCACAGCCATTCATCTCATTCATGATTTAAAAGGTAGTGGTAGAAAAACCTTCCAAAGACTGGAACTAGAAACAAACTTCTCTATTTCATAAATGGCATCAATAAGAACACTACATCTGATATATCAGTAATCAAAGACTGAATGTTTTCACCAAATCATCAGGATAAGACTACAACATCCACTGTCCTGTCATCGCTTCCAGCCGATGCTGCACTAATGGCTCCGGGCCTTTACAGTGGTTGTTTAGGCAACAGGGAGGGAATTTAAAAAAGCACTTAGATTAGAAAAAAAGGATGTAAAACTGTTCCATGAAGACATGAACCAATGTTTAGTATACCTAAGGATGGTCACATGATTTAAGAATATCATACAAAATTTAACTATAGTTCCACATGTAAGCAAAAAATAATTTCAAAAGGAAATCAAGAATTCTATTTCCATTTAAACACTTGTTATTTTGAAATTATATAAATAATACCACCAATGAATACATACAGACCTTTCTGTATTTCATATTTCCCATTTGGACAGATTCCTGGAACTCTACTTGCTTTCTTAAAGCACAGGTACAAAGATGCTCAAATGCTTCATATATGAAGTAACAAATTCAGAGAACAGTCACTGTGTTACACAGTGAAGTTTGACCACGAACATATGGCAATTCTGGGTTTTTCTCATTAAGAGTGCTCTAAGTAAACTGAAGAACAGAGATGGCTATTACCTGCACAGCATGAGACAAATCTGACAACAGACACTGTCGGAGCCTTTCATCACTCCCAATTCCTTGGAGAACGAAGTCAGGCACGTACGACGAGCAGTAACCAGCCAGCAAGGACCTCCCGAAGTTGGCAATGTTGGGCTGAACCGCACTGACTTCAACTAACTTTGAGCTAGAACAAAGATTCCCCAAGAAGGCATATCCAATTAACAGTAAACACATTTCCCAGAAAAAAGGAAAAAAAAAATTCTTATCCTGCCAGTTTATATTTCCAATACATTATTTTCAACAAAATACAGACTATCAAGCTTAAATAAAAACTTGTGTAAGTGGCCAGAATACAAAATACCCCTTTCTTACCAAGAAATCTGATAACACAGTTTTGTAATGATGTGAGTATAAACCTTGTTCCATCTGTCTCAACATTCTTAATATAATCAAATTATGAAAACATTCAAGACAAATTAGTTCAATATTTTACAGTTCCAAAGCTGGTATATAACACCTTTAGGTCACAGACGGTCTCCTTACATACTTGACCTATATACATTGCCTGTTTTCTTCTTAGATTGGGCCAGATCTACTCCTAACTGCATTTCCTTTCCTTTCTAGTTATAACCTCATCATGATTTCCAAACTCAGCACAGAAAAGCTGGAGGGATTATGGACTGGGGAGAGCACTGGATGGTGTCTATCTCATTTCAAAATGGTCTGAATACTCTTAACCAGTACATAATTACCTACATATCGAACAGATTTTTTTAAAAGATTTATTTTTATTGGAAAGTCAGATACAAAGAGAGGAGGAAAGACAGAGAAGATCTTCCATCTGATGAAACACTCCCAAAGTGGCCACAACAGCTGGAGCTGAGCTGATCCAAAGTCAGGAGCCAGGAGCCTCTTCCAGGTCTCCCATGCAGGTGCAGGGTCCCAAGGCTTTGGGGCGTTCTGCTTTCCGGGCCACAAGCAGGGAGCTGGATGGGAAGTGGGGCTGCTAAGATAAGAACTGGCGCCCATAGGGAATCCCAGCCCTGAATAGATTTTTTTTTTTTAACTCTTCTATGATGCTTTCAAAAATCTTTTCTTAGTAAGCTTGTGGGGCTCAGCATTTCAAGAGTAAAAACACATGTAAAATAATAGACAATTTCTGTAGGACAACGACCTATTCTATAATAGCTACTTCCAGCCTTCAGAGGCCAGCTAGACAGAACAATGTTTGTATTTTTAAATATAGGGCTTAATTTTTAAATGAAAACTTCCTACTTACCCAGGAAATGGTATCTCATCCTCCTCTGCCCAATCTTCTTGTTCGCCTGCATAATAACTGCTGACTGGTCTGCTCAGATCGTGGCCTGCATCTTCACTTTCACTATCCCCAAGGGCGCTATCTGAACTTTCATTTCTTGGAATGTCCCATTCAGTTCCTACAGCATTTTTTTTCTCAGTACTCTCTTTATCCCCATGGGGGACAAGAATGGAGAGTGTATCTCTTTGGTCCTGCTGAGGAAAGCAGGTTTTACATGAATCCTGGTGAACTGACTCCACACATTTACAAAATTCATTATTTTGTTTGCTGGCTTTTGTACATAACATTTTTGAAAATTCCAACACACAGCAGTGTTCTTTACTGTCTGCATTTCTTTGATCTGCAACATCATCAATAGTCCTGGTTTCAATTGAATCATCATTAAAATATTCATCAAATAAGCTCATGTTTTCTGAATCTGAATGACTCCAACAGGGGAGTTCATGGGGCCTTCCAGAAACCAGGTCCTGTCTTTCAGACTCTCCAGATTGGTCCTTTGTTGTCGGTTTCCTTTCCTGATGTTGATCAATAGTGCTTCTTTCTTCCTTCAATGGTTTGGTATGGTGCCTGGTAATTTGATCCACCACAGCCTGACTCCTGAGTTCAGTATCTGAATCAGGTGACATAGAATCTCCAATCAGAAAAGTCACCTTTGCTTGGGTTGCCTCACAAGAACAAGCATCAGGTACAACCTTATCTGGAGGTTTTTTCTCCACAACCATTCCTGTAGACCTCAGTGCCTTGTCTGGATCTGAATCCAGCAATGCCTCACTCTGCCATGTTTCCTCTGTTGGCTCTGAGCCTGCTTCTAACAATGCACATTTGCTTACTGGAGCAGATCCCGTGCAAACAACTGTCTCTAACTTGGTGTCAAGGCAAGTTCTTAATTTATTTCTGCACTGTTTAACATCAACATTTTCTTCTTGGCAGTCAGGAGGACAAATCATTCGGCATTCATCTGAAATTCCCAGCAACTCTGTCGAGCCGTTTTGGATATCTTTGTCGTGTTGTGAAACATTCTCCACACTGTGCCCGACATGTGGACGAGTGCAATATTTACAGCTGCAGTTAGAAGTTCTTACTTCTTCCGACTCTTTAAAGAGTAAACTACTTTTGTTTCTATGCATTGTGATAAGCACATACTCTGATTCTTCTATTTCACCTTTTTCTAAGGTGGTAGTAATCACTGTGCCTGGCATAACAATAGCTTCATCTTCTCCATTTTCTAAAAGATGTGTTTCTTGAAGTTCAGAACATCTTATAAAATAAGTGAGGAAATAGAGCAGCCTCTGGACCATGTCTTGCCGTTTGCCGACTACCACAGTCCTCGCTAACCGCACAGGAGAGCCGATAGCGCCATACAAGTCTCCTACAATGAAAAATGTTGTGAATGAACACATCCTCTCTACTCACATAGCTAAACAAGCTATTTTTAATTGTAAGATACATATTCTTTCAGGTCTTCTATTTCTTTACCAGAGAGCAGGAGGAGATGAATGCTCTTAACTAGCCAACAAAATAAACACAAAGGTTTTCTAGCTTCCTTCTTTAACAGCTATTGTGTTTCTGAAACCCAGAGTGAGTTCTGAAAGCCACATGTACCAAGAATATTCTTCATACCAAGTCCCATGTAGAGCAAATTATCTAGATGGGAAGTCACTGCCTAAAGAACTATGTACATGAGAATTCTTTACTATCCAGTGCAGAAAACAAAACAAAACAAAGCACAATTCCTTCTGGCAGACAGTAAGAGGAAGGGAGTAGTGGGGGAATAGGGCACAGCTGCAACAAACACACCACAAATTTCTCCATTTATGTTTTAGCTCAAATTAAATCATAACTTGAATGTCAAAGAATGAAGAATTCAAAACCACTCATTTCAGGTTTTTGCAAGTTGTTAGTATACATGTTTAAGTCTATAAATTATTCATACTTTTTAAAGGAACATAAATAGGTCTCAAACATATATATGATGTGGCCCATAGAACTATAAATTTCCTCCTCTAAGGAGAAAAAGTCATCATGCTACTCTTCTAAACTACTCCTCAAATTGCCACTAGTTACCAAGTCAACTGAAACGATTTCTGCATGGCATGTGACTATTTCATAATTAGTCCTTACCTTATTAGGTTTGTCTTCTTACAGCTATATTTTTCACACTCACCCAAAACCTCACGTAAACTGTACCACCAAAACTAGATCACTGAATATACTTTGCACATTTAACACCTGGGCTCACGTTAGTCACGCAGTGTGCTCTCCCCAGCCTACCCTCAACTAATGCAAAATTTCTCACTCGAGCTTCTTCACCTGCACAAAATACTCTCTCCTCACTGAATTCCTCGTTAACATTTCCTTTCTCTTGTGGTTCTTTCCTGAAATGTTTCAAGTTTATAAGTTATGTAACTCTGACTAAAACGGGGTATACCTGACTCCACAGCCAACACCTTAAAAATCTCATTCACTGGTCCATTCCCTAAACATCTACAAAGTCTGGACTGGGTCTGGCTAAAGCAGAGAACCAGGAATTTAACCCAGGATTCCCACAGGAGTGGCAGTGTCTTGGGTCATTACTTCTACTCCCAAGATTTGCTTTTGCAAAAAGCTGTAACACACCAGAGGTGAGTACTAAAGCCAGATACTCTGAGAAGAGACAGGCACAGGCATTTTAACCAACATCATAACCTTTAGGACAAACGTTTGTTCATACACTTACACATCACACTATACTGCTACCCTAATGCCCGCAAACCTGACCAGCCGCTCTCTCCTTTGTTATCCATTTTTATCCAGAACAACTCATCCAACAACAGAAACCCTCAATGAATCACTACTCTTAATCAGATTTATTCTAGTTATCACAGATGAATGTTGATTCTTTTTTTCTAGGCAGAGGACCTAATGCAATCTATAAGAATGTATAACAAATTGAAGGCTCTAAAGCACCAGTAAATTAGTTATCAGCTTGCTCTCCTTACACCACCAGAAGAACTAACTGTAAGGAATGATGTCATACTTGTGGTGAGGACAGGACAATTTAGCAGACTCATAAAAAGACAAGTAAAAATGAGATGCTAAAGAATGGAGGAGATAACAGAGTGTGTTTTATTCTTATATTTACCATAATTCTGACAGTTCTACAAACACTTATATATAATACATGAGTGAAGATGATCAGACTACATACCCAATTGAGCCCAAAGTGGGTTATATGGATGAGTCTTTGCCAACATGTCCACACTCTGAGAGGAATGTTTTTCTAAAAATATTTTTATAGGTGGCTGTCCATTTGGCATGACTGTTGGAACCCAGGCAAGATGATTGGTCAGAACTGCAGTAATAAGAGCTGGCAAGAATCTGAAAACAAAATGTATTCTATCAGATTTCAATCTGCCTTCAAGAAACTGCTGATAAAATTCAGTGACAGAGTAAATAGAGTACATCTTCTCATGTGGAATATATCTTCTCTTTTTTTATCATAACTAAAAAAAAAAAAAAAAGAAATTTCACTTGAAAAACTAGAGATTATTTTCAGTGCTGAATCTACAGTTTCTTTTTTTTTTTTTTTTTTAAGATTTATTTATTTATTGGAAAGTCAGATATACAGAGAGGAGGAGAGACAGAGAGGAACATCTTCCCTCTGATGATTCACTCCCCAAGTGAGTGCAACGGCCCATGCTATGCTTATCCGAAGCCAGGATCCAGGAACTTTTTTCGGGTATCTCACATGGGTGCAGGGTCCCCAAGGCTTTGGGCCGTCCTCATCTGCCTTCCCAGGCCACAAGCAGGAAGCTAGATAGGAAGTGGAGCTGCCGGGATTAGAACCGGTGCATACATATGGGATCCCAAGGCGAGGACTTTAGCCACTAGGCCACGCTGCCGGGCCCTCTTTTATTTTTTTTTTTTTTAAGATTTATTTTTACTGCAAAGTCAGATACACAAAAAGGAGGAGAGACAGAGAGGAAGAACTTCTGTTTGATGGTTAACTCCCCAAGTGAGCACAACAGCCAGTGCTGCGTTGATCCGAAGCCAGGAGCCAAGAACTTCTTCCAGGTCTCCCATGCAGGCGCAGGGTTCCAAGGCTTTGGGCCTTTCTAGCCTGTATTCCCAGGCCACAATCAGGGAACTAGATGGGAAGCAGAGCCACCGGGATTAGAACTGGCATCCATATGGGATCCTGGTTATGTTCAACAGAGGATTTTAGCAGCTAGGCCACTGTGTTGGGCTTGAATCTACAGTTTCTTAACGCATCAATCAGCAAGTTTTTAAATCCAAATTACTGAACAGGAAAATGAAGTAAAGTACTAAGCAAATTTTATCTACTATGACAGAGAATAAAAACATCTAAAATATTTGCCTGGATTCCAAAGACTTGATAATAAAGAAAACAACATGGTAAAACAGTACATTAATAAAGGCCATCACTGGGGCCTCATGCAGTAGCCTACTGGCTCAAGTCCTTGTCTTGAATGCGCTGGGATCCATATAGGCGCTGATTCTAATACAAGCAGTCTTGCTTCCCATCCAGCTCCCTGCTTGTGGCCAGGGAAAGAAGCTGAGGACGGCCCAAAGCCTTGGGACCCTGCATCTGCATGGGGTGACCCAGAAGAGGCTCCTGGCTTAAAAAAAAACTGGCTCAGCTGTTTCTGTTGTGGCCACTTGGGGAGTGAATCAATAGACAAAAGATCTTCCTCTATCTGTCTCTCCTCCTCTCCGTATATCTGACTTTCCAATACAAAAATATAAACCTAAAAAAACAAAAACAAAAAAAACTATCATTGGAATCCTAGAACTTTTTACTTTCTATATAATAAAAGTATCATTAATAGACAAAACTTTAAAAAAAGAATTTGGAAGCCTCAGAATGCTGTAAGATGTCAAGATTTTTAACTTAATACATAAATAAGGGCATTTTTTCTCTTATTAATTCATACTGTTTTGTGGAACTCGTGCATATGTTATCACTGAGAGTTGACCACAATTTAGATACCTAATTTTAATTAAACAATAAACAAAATAAGCACATAAATTAAACAAGCCATACTGATTTTTAGAAGCGTTTTCCATTAGAAAAGTGAACTCCTTCATGAAACGGTGGCAAAGCTGGTTCTTTTCTGGAGTTCCAGACATCATCGTGAGCCACACAGGTTCTCCGATGCGTGGCATTGTGTAAAGATTACAAATTGTTGTTCTACAAGAAAAAAGACACATTATGAAGTTCACAGTCTAGAATTAAATCTTCATACATTTACATTGCCAGCTTAGTCCTTTTATTTAGATCATCAAAGCTTTGTAAAGAGACAAGCAACCCAATTGTCCCTTCTTTCATCAGCATCATAGCATAACGACTGTACGTGAACTCAAAATATGTTGTTGCTAGTTGGCCTCAAAATGACTATGTGCGCACTGTTAGAGCACAAGTGCGAAACCCCTGCAGAAGTCAAGCAGACACTCCCACCCAGGAATGTATAGAATGCCCTGCACAGAAGGTCAGCACCTGCCGTGATGAGTACCTGACACTATACCTCACATTCATGCTAAAACTGAAGAGCTGTCACCTTCTCCCATCCCACCTCCATAAGATGTATAAAAGCCCAGTGCTGGGAACCCTGGGCAGCCACTTCCCACACACGGTCATCCTGGCCTGTGGAAGTGGTCCTGGCTGTTTCTCACTAGGGAACAGCCTGCCAGACTCTCTCTCTGATTAATAAAAGCCCTTCTGTCTCTCCCAATCACCTCTGCACCTAACACCTTGTAGTAAATTACTTCTTCCACGCAACAGGAGCCTCTCCTGCCTAGAAGATGAAAGGGTAAGACTAGATAATTTCTAAAGTGCCTTTTAGCTCTACACCTTAAGATTTATGCTATACTTAAATGCAGAACACATGATCAATAATAGAGAAATATGAGTAACAGCTAATTCATCTACCCACTCAAAACAAGTTTATTTCCATCATTTTGTTGCTTGCATGTAGACTCAAGTTCTAAACGATGGTATATCTGATAACCCTCTCAATCTGGAGTTTTTCCTGAATCAATGCAAGGAAAAAAATTATTGTACAATCATCAGAGTGTTTTCCTGGGTGTTTCATGGGCGAACTTACACAACATCTCTGGTCAGGTCATGTGAACTGTACTACTCTAAAGGCTCCAAAGCATAAATCTGAGATGTTAATTCTTTTTTTTTATAGTAATACCTTCAATAGAATTCTCTATACTCACTACACTAAGCATCTCCAACAAAGTTGAAAGCTTAAGATACTAGTTATTCTTGCAAAAATATAGTACTTTCTATTTTTCTGAACAATGCTGCCTAACCAAACTGTTATGGTTTTAGCCTAACAATCTAGATATCTGATAATGTGCTCCTTTTTTAGAGTACTTGGGTCTGAAACTTAACTCTGGCTCCTGGCTCCAGCTTCCTACTGCAACATACTCTGGAAGGCAGTAGCAACAGTTCAAATAATTAGGTTCCTGTCGCTCATAATGGTGACCTAGTCTGGCTTCCTGGCTCTGGGCTGTGGCCCAGCCTACCTCAACCACTGCAGGCATTTGGCACAGTGAACCACTGGATTAGAGGTGTGTGTATGTATTCCTATTTCTAGAGCTTGCTGCTTCTCGTTAAAAAAAAAAAAACTTATTTTCTTATGAAGTAGATTTATTCATTTATTTGAAAGTCAGAGTTAGGGAGGGACAGAGAGATCATTTGTCTGCTAGTTCACTTCCCAAACGGCTGCAATGGCCAGAGCTAGGCCAGTACAAAGAAGGGAGTCAGGAACCTCTAGCTGTCCCACATGGGTGTAGAGTCCCAAGGCTTTGGGCAGTCTCTGCTGCTTTTTTAAACCATAAGTAGGAAGCTGGACTGGAAGTAGAACTGCTGTGACACGAATTGGTGCCACATTGGATGCTGGTACTGAAGACTGAAGATTAGCCAATTTGAGCCATCATGCCAGCCCCAATTCTCGTTTTCTTTTTTAAACAACAACAAAAAAGTAACAAAAATGACTGAGGGAGTGAATTTTAGATTGTATTAAACACAATAAAATAGTCACTAAGGGCTAATGGTTCACACCACTTGTCCATACTGCTCTAGAAAACCTTCTGCTATCTCCATAAATCCGAATAATCACCTCAGCATAATTCTCTAACATCTAGGATCCAAAAAAAAAAAAAGAATAAGTTTCTTCCCTGCATAACTATTACTAATATTCCTGGCCCAATATAAATGTGATATATATACAGTGGATACAAGTAATAATTACAAATCATTTTAACAAGTTACTGGTAGGGCATTAAAATAATTCCTGAGAACTAAAAAGCAACTAAAGATTCAATGTATAAGTGTGTGCATTTGTGTGCACACACACATATGTGTGTATGGCAAGAGACAGATAGGAAAATTTTCTGGAAAATAAAGAATGGGAGAAGAAAGCTAAAATAAAGTTCATTTATATTTCATTAGATCTTGTAGGATTTTTGTTAATCAGCACATTTCCCACATATTTAATCTAATTTCATATCATAATTCTATTTATTTGAAACACACACAAAGACAATAAAATGCTTTGTTGATTCATTCTCCCTCCAAAAAATAGAGTAAAAATGAAGTGGACAAAATTCAAGACTTCTACTGGTGGCAGGAGACCCAACTACTTGAGCCATCACCTGTGACTCTCAGAGGCCACAGAAGCAAAAAGCTGGAATCAGCAACTTTATTCAGGAGTCAAATCCAAGCACCAATGTGGGATAGAGGTGTACTAATAGCTGGGCTCAACATCTGTCCTGACATTTTCATTAAGAGAAATTTCATGAGCCCAGCACAGTAGCTTAGTGGCTAAAGTCCTTATCTGGCATGCACTGGGATCCCATATGGGCACCTGTTCTAGTCCCAGTGGCCCTGCTTCCCATCTAGCTCCCTGCTTGTGGCCTGGGAAGGTAGTAGAGGATGGCCCAGGACCTGGGAACCCTGCACCCACAAGGGAGACCCAGGGGAGGCTCTGGACTCCTGGCTTCAGATCGGAGTAGCTCTGCCTGTTGTGGTCACTTGGGGAATGAACCAGCAGTAGAAAGGTCTTCTTCTCTGTCCTCCTCTCCGTGTATCTGACTTTCCAATAAAAAATACATCTTAAAAAAAAAAAGAAAAAAAAAAGAAATTTCTTACAAATTTGTAAGGTGATTGCTTAACTTTCATGAGTTTCTCCAACATACTACTTTTTGTTAGCTATGACCTACCTTTAAAATTTCCATTGTACTCTACTTTCTACCAGTACATATGTTTAATGTTACTGATCATGAACTCATTTTTATAGCTAGCTTTCTATGGCAAAGAATAAGATTCCTCATCCATGACAATCAAATTTCCTTTGAAATAAATTTAAATAAATACAACATAGCATCAATTTAAACTTTAAAACAGATCAAATGTTATATATACATTTAGCACAACTGAGAAGGAATGAAGTGAATGACTGACTAGTCACTGAGAATAACCAGCACTGCTTTAGGTTATACCCATCATAGTAAACAACAGCCAGGCATTCAGATTAGTAACTTACACAGTAACTACTATATGTGATCCTTACGATAATCTGTTAGATTATCATTACATTAAATTTACATATTTTAGGCCAGAAAACTGTGCCAAATCTGAAGAATGGCTAATGAAACAGAAACAGTGGAAATATCAAGAATATACTCTTTGTATCTAAGAATACAAAAACTTCTGATTACTAGCACTGGCTAAATAACAACTAGTTCCTATTCTTCAGAGGCTGAAAGGGGACACACAACATTTTTGCTGGAATAAGATTCTCTTCAAACAGTTTTCCTAAAAACCATTATACTATGACTCTAGAATATGCAGAAACCCCAAGAACACCTGAAACTCAGTAACATATAGGAACCAAAGATCTCATGAAGAATACCCTGTCAACCACAAAACAAAAAAATTAAAGATTAAAAATTTCTGGAACACATTAAGGAAGAAAAAAAAATATTCTTACAACCCATTGTGAGGCAATTCAATATCACAAAGAGCTGGTGAATATGTACCTGAATTCATTTAGGGCATCAACTATTCGATTATATGCCAAACTCCTTTGACTGGCATCAGCTGATCTGCGGCTCATTTTCATAGCCTTGAAAACAATCATTAAAGAGTTAATTCTAAAATCAACTCTAAGCAAAACAAGAGAAAATAAATGAAATAAAACATCACATATTTATATATAACCCTAGCAACATTATTATCTGAAAAGAAATAAAGAAGACATAGATACTTACAATGGTTTTCTTTGGTCATTAATAACAAAATTTAAACATTAACTTTTTTTTAGATTATTTATTTAAAAGGCAGAGTGATAGAGATGGGGGAGAGACAGAGATAAACATCTTCTATGTGCTGGTTCAGTCCCCAAATGACCACAGTGAAGCCCAGAGCCAGGAACTCCATCCAAGTCTCTCACATGGATGGCAGGAGACCATATACTTGAGCTACTCTCCACTGTTTTGCCAGGCACATGATCAGAGCTAGATCAGAAGTGAAGAAATTGCTGTTTCAAGGACTTGCTTGTACAGCATTGTCACAGTACCAGCCTCTACATTTCTTATTGTGGTAAGTTTCAGAATGTCAACACACAAACTGAATTTGACAGTTTCTACATTATAATACACTATATTTTCTGTAAAGAAAGTAAGGCAAAATTATACCTGAATAACAGTAATTCATAGGTTTGCCCTTCTATTTCACAGACAATGCTCTTGTTAATTATTTTAGAAAAATCTGGAATATTAAGTAGGTGTTGGAGGCAATGGTTAAGCCACTGTTTGGGATGCCTGCATCTCATACTGACATGTCTTCTTCAAGTTTTGGCTCCTCTGTACCCAAATCAGTTTCTGAGTTTGGGTTTCTGCCACCACTTGGGAGACCCAGACTGAGGTCTCAGCACTCAGCATCATCCTGGCCCTGTTCCGGCTGCTGTGGACATTTGGAAGCGGATGGAAAATTTCCCTCTACCTTGTCTCTGTCCCCATTTCTGTCTTTCAAATAAAATGAAAATGAAATTTTTTAAAGCTGGAATATTAATATTCTACTGAAAAATATCTCAAATAATTACCAGCATTTGTTTTCTTAAACACACATTCAAGCAACAGTTAACACTCTTGATCTAGAAAGACAAAAAGGATCTGGTTTGGGATATAGATAAAAAAAGAACTTTATCATGTGAAGTCTATGATTTTTTTGAAGAGAATTCAACTTGCTTCATGTAATTACAAATTTATTTAAAATGTTTTAAAAACAAACATTTTAAGAGAAGGTTGGACTTCTGGAAGCCTGAAAATAAACTGTACATGATGAAAGCAAAACACAGCTTACGGCTTTTTCAAACTGTTAAGAGTCATAATTTACAAAGAACTTCCTATTCTCTCAACAGAACAGATTAGTGCTCTTCCCTAATTTTGTTAGAAATTATATCACAGATTTCAGAAAGCATGGACTTGCAAGTAAGTGTCACAATGCAGGGAAACAAAATCCACAGATTAAAAGACAAATAAAACATGGTCCTAGACAATTATGTCATTGGACAATCTAGTGTTCTCTAAATTCTATCATTGATTAAACTGCTATAGAGCTTCTAAAATTTCATTTATGGAAAATATTCTTTCAGTTTTATCTTTCAGTCTTATTTTAAAATGATGGGATAATAACTTTGAACAAATATCCTGTACAATTTAATTTACAAAGTGTGCAGTTACAACTTGCACTGCTCTCTTTCCCTTGCATACACTACCACAATGATTAAGAATTTGGTTTATACCCACTAGTTAATTCAACTCAGAGTGTGTGTGTGTGTGTGTGTGTGTTTAAATCCGGAAAACTCACCAAGATGTTAACTATGGTTAAGAATATTTATTTTAAAAAAAAAAAAGACCTTCTAGTAAAAGGGTTACTTAAACTAACAAAATCCACTAAAATCTAAGATTTATAACATGAAAAATGTGTATATCCAAATGAGTTTTTTTTAAATGGACCCACAGTTTTACAAATACATGTCATATGTAGTATAGTACAAAGAAGAGGATCTAGTGAGGCTTTGGGCCAAACAGGGCAGGCAATTGGAGAAGTGGTTAGGATGCTATCGGGGAGTACCTGGGTATGAGTCATGGTTCTGTTCTGTATTTCGGTTTCTTGCAAATGCACACTAAGGGAGGTGGTTCAATTACTCGGACCGTTAGAACCCATGAGGAAATAGAGATGGTATTCCCAGTTCCTGCCTTCAGCTTGGACTAACCCCAAACAATCAGGGTAATTGGGGGTTAGGGGGAGTGAACCAGCAGATGTGAAATCTCTGTCTCTGCCATTAATAAATTAACTTTAAAAGAAAAACAATTTTTAAAAATTTGGCAAAATGTTAGAACATTCCTTCTGGGAGCAAAATTATCAATTTTCTTAATATTTTATCTTTAAAAATTCATACACATTCAAGATACAGCAAAATAGTGAGAAATCACTTCCTCGTGCACTCCTGAATTTTAAGTCTTCCTTTAGCTACCCATAAGTTCAATTTTGTAACTTACACATTTTCTGATTTTAATTCTTAATTTTAATGATCTGCATCATATACACTTTCCCAGTAGCATCAGACACTACCACCATCTCCTTGACATGTTCTCTTCACTTGATTTTACTCCCTATCCTCTCAATTCTAAATTTTCCTCAAATCCCTTTTCACCTCCTCTGCTGATTTCTTCTCTCATCTCAAATCCTAACTGCTGAAATGCTCCACCACTCTTCCATCAAATGCTTCTATCTGCAGTCTTTCGTCTTTGAGCATGTCAATTCTTTCTGGTTATTCATATGAAAAATTTTAAGAGTCAACCTACATAGTTCTCCTTCTCCAATGGGAGCCCAATGAAGCCTTGAGTTGAAGAATGACACTTCTTGCTAGAATCACAGTTACTACTGGTAGGGAACACAAGGTAACTTCAAAAATAAACATCTCTTTTAATTTCATTTTTCATAACTCATTAAGTTCCCTTTTATACCATTCTGTTTTATTTTCCTCTATAGCACTTAATAGTATCTAAAGTAATAGAAACACGATTCTTTATTTGCTATCCCATGAGGTTAGGAGTGTTGCTTTCTTGACAGCTTCTCTTATGTTGCTGAAACAGGGTTTGCCTCTTTACAGGTTCTCATTCAACCCATGGCCTGAAATCATTTAGTAGACAGTAAGCTCTTTTAACAGAGGTAAATACATTTGTACCTCCCATAGCTCTTGGAAGATCATTCAAACAGTGCCTATTAAATTTCCTGTTAAATTCAATAAACATAATGTTTAATCAGAATAAATTTCAAAGGAAAAAAGAAGATAAAAATAATTACAATAGTAACTATGCTTACCTGTTCTATTGCACTCTTTAATTTGTTCATGTGGCTTTCAAAGAGAGGAAAATGTGAAAAAAAGAATTCATTAAATTTGGTATTTTCATCCTCGTCTTTGGACAATGAAAAGATTACCCCAATTGCAATCTTCTTTTTCCTCACAATTCCTGGGGTAGGGCCACCGCTTTCATCTGACAGATTAAAACTTTCTTCTATAGACCTTGAAAAATGAAATTAACTTCAATTCAATCTTCTTGCTAATAAAATGTAGACAAGTTTGCTTCTATTTTATGAACTAAATCTAATATTTCATATAAATTAAGTAACCTTTTGAAAACTCTAGCTATTCTTCCATTTTCAAATTTTTCATAGAAAAGTTCGCTTGTGTTAAATAAGACTGGGAACAATTTTCTCAAATTTGAAGTTTCTAAAACAGATAGTCCCAACTTGTAAGATATTCAGTGATGTCTGAATTCTCAAATTTTTAAAATGAATCTGATAATAATCTCTTCACTGTTTTAGGATTTTTTTGTCTTTCTTCCAATTCTAAGAATACAATCAGACAATGTGGCCAGCAACATGGCTCAATAGGCTAATACTCTACCTACTTGCGCCAGCATCTCATAAGGATGCCAATTCATGTTTCAGCTGCCTCACTTCCTATCCAGTTCCCTGCTTATGGCCTGGAAAGCAGAAGATGGCCCAGAAGAAGTCTCGGGACCCTGCCCTCATATGGGAGGCCCAGTGAAAGCTCCTGGCCCCTAGTTTTGGACTGTCTCAGCTCCAGCTATAGCAAACCTTTGGGGAGTAAACCAGCAAATGGAAGATCTTTGTCTTTCCTTCTCTTTGTAAATCTGCTTTTCCAATAAAAATACAGAAACCTTTACCAAAAAAAGAAGGAAAAAGAAAAAGAAGAAGAAAAAGAAAACAGAAATATGCATGCTGAGACTGTGGAAAAAATTGGAACCCTAACACACTATTTGTGGTGATATAAGATGGTACAAAGTGTAAAGCAACAGAGAACTTATGCAAAAAATAAATAAAAGGAATTATTGTAAGGTCCAGCAGCTCAATTTCTGAGCATCTAAACTGCGCCCACCCCTCCAAGCCCATCCCATCAAAGAATTGGGCACACACTCATTTCACAGCAGCCATACATGTCCAACAACAGATGGACAAATAAAATGTGTCATGTGCATTCAGGGGAATGCTGGTCCTCCACAGAAAAAAAGTAATGGATTTCTGACACATGCAGCCAAGATGGATGAGCCTTGAGGATGTTATACTAAAATGACATAGAAGTACAAGTACTCTATGAATGTACTTATATAAAGTACCTACAGTAGTCAAATTCATAGAGAACATTAGTAGGAAGGGCAGGGGAAGCAAGAACATGGAATGAGTAAAGAATTGTCATTTAGGAAGAAGAAAAAGTTGGAATAATGAATAATAATGGGAGATTTTTAATGCCAATGAACTGCACATCTAAAAATAAATACAGTGATAAATTTTGTCATCTAACAACATTAAGAAAATGTAATGTTTTTTAAGTTTTCAGTTCCAGTCTTAAAATACTCAGAACACAATTTCAGGCCCTAAAAAAAATCATACAAAATTAGATTTAAGGAACTTTAATCCTGTTTATATTCCAACTTACCATCTTGGAAATACCCCATTTTCCAAACTTGTTGTTTGGCTGCGGCGCCAACGTCTCTGGTAGCTGCTAGCACAACTTCGAGTAAGTGAGGAGTTTGGAGAGGGAAACGGAGTGATAAGCAAGCTGCTTAGAGAGGCTGTTAAGTCAAAAAAACAATAATCGTAATGTGTAAACTGATAGTGGTGCTACACAATGCTAAATTTCAACAAATTTGAGAGCAGCGTGACAGAAATTTTTCATCTTGCTTCATAAACTTCGACCATTTCCATTTAAAAAACACATTCGGGAGAGGCAGTTGGCCTAGCAGTGCAGATGCCTATTTTCTCACACAGGTGCACTCTGGCTGAATACACAGACTCTGGCTCCAGACTCCAACTTCCTGCGAATGGAGCACCTGGGAGGCAGCAGTGATGGCTCCGGCTCCGGAATTCCTGCCTCCCATGTGGGAGATCTGGATTGTCTTCCTGTTCAGCCCTGGCCAATGAAGGTAGCTGCAGAGTGAAGCAGCAGGAATGGGTACTCTCCGTTTCCTGTTCCCTCTCCCCTCTGTATGTTTAAACAAAGAAGTAATTTTTTAATGGTTAAAAAAATATCATTTTTGTAGCATGGTCTCAGAGAAAAACCACATGTTAACAGTGTATTGGCAAGAGACTGAGAGAATCTACTTTTGGCATTTCCCTTTATCCAGAAAAAAAAACAAAAACAAAAACGCTGCTTTACAAGATATTAACTTTGTGCACAAAACTATCTCCTAACTTAAACCAACCCTTGTAACCCTTAAATTCCAGGGAATCTAATGCTATTAAAACTTAATAAAGCAGGGCCCAGCACAATAGCGTAGTGGTTAAAGTCCTCGCCTTGAATGCACCGGGATCCCATATGGGCACCAGGTTCTAATTCCAGCAGCTCCACTTTCCATCCAGCTCCCTGCTTGTGGCCTGGGAAAGAAGTTCTGGCTGGCCCAAAGCTTTGGGACCCTGCACCCACGTGGGAGACCCAGGAGAAGCTCCTGGCTCCGGATTGGCTCAGCTCCAGGTGTTGTGGTCACGTAGGGAGTGAACCATCAGATGGGGGATCTTCTTTTCTGTCTTTCCACCTCTCTGTATATCTGCCTTTCCAATAAAAATAAATCTTTTTAAAAAAAAACTTACTAAAGCAGTTGATTTCTAATAAAAAGAGCTATATTTAAAAATAAGTGCTTGGGCCCGGTGCGGTGGCACAAGTGGTTAAGGTCCTCACCTTGCACGCCCGGGATCCCATATGGGCGCCGGTTCTAATCCCGGCAGCCCCGCTTCCCTTCCAGCTCCCTGCCTGTGGCCCGGGAAGGCAGTCGAGGACGGCCCAAAGCTTTGGGACCCTGCACCCACGTGGGAGACCCGGAAGAGGCTCCTGGCTTCAGATCGGCGTAGCATCAGCCGTTGCGCTCACTTAGGGAGTAAATCATCGGACAGAAGATCTTCCTCTCTGTCTCTCCTCTCTGTATATCTGCCTTTCCAATAAAAAAATAATAGAAAATAAATCTTTAAAGAAAAAAAAAGTCCTTGCGGGGCCTTTGAGAAGTCATGTAGAAGCACTCCTAGATGTTGTGCATGGAGTCAAGTTTCTCACCATTAAGCTCCCAAAATGAGAGAACGCTACAGAGTCCTCTCTGGAGCATTTAGAGGTGAGACATAAATTGCAGTACAATCTAACAGGAATTGTTAAAATTCCAAGTGCAGAGATTATTTCCTTTCAAAAACCCTTCTCCACACTCCAGAAGATGTTGCATGCCTGGGGTACTGAACACTGTAACGCTCTATTTTTTAAGGGGTTTAGGGATCCGCCATAGGAGCTAGAGAGGATAAAATGTGCTATTCAGGCTTATTTTGATTTGACAATATTTTAACTTCCAACTGCATGATTACAACCATGTATTAAAAATCCATAATCAAAACAGGGAAGCTATCATTTATAAAAGGTATAACACAGATGAGAAATTTTTTTGGATACTAATACTAAAAACTGAGACATTCTCATCAAGATGTATTCTTTTGAGCACTGTGCCCTATATATGCAGATCACCATCGGATATGTTCTAAACACCTTCCTGAAAAGTCCACATTTTATCAATTAGTATGATAAACTAGTAATCTAGAATTGGGCATGCACAACTAGCCATAAGTAACTTCAGGGAGAAATGTAAGACTATGCTGTATTAAGAAAAACACATTTTGATGTATTTCAGTATTAAATAAACCCTAAAGAACATACTGACTTCAAGCACCCTTGCAGCTCAGTTTATCCAAGCCCTGCCACTTAAAATTGGAGAAAACAAAGGACACAGAATTAATGTCACCTTCCAATCTTTAATGACAACTAGATGGACGGTCTCTTTCTCAATCCTTTTCTAACACTGACTTTCAAACTAAATAAATCAATCTTTAAAAAAAAAATAATGGAAGGGTGAGATTATTTGAAAAAAAAAATGTAACTCTCGCTGCATGGGTAGTGTTTCTCAATCCTAGCTATCCATAAGAAACAACAGATGAGTTCTTCATTTTGTTGTTCCTAAAAGAGGCCAAGCCTTTCTCCAAGTTAAAACAGAGGCTCTGGTTAGGCCCCTGAAAACACTGGGAAGCTTTTAATATTATTATGATGTACTCCCAGGTATTACAATATACACTATGATTTGACTTTCATTTCTCCTAAAACTAAATCATGTTTGAGTTACATAACCTATTGTTACACCAGGAAGAGCTTGAATTTCTAACTTCTGAAGGCAGCAGGGGAAACAGCAACTGCTACATCTTAGCGGTTTCTCCAGAGTTACCAGTTCTCAATGTAAAAGGTCTGGATGCTCCACAACAATTTCAAACACAGCAATCAGTGTCTTCCATTGCCAGGAAAACCCTCTGTCCAAGGTTATTCCTAATATCATATTTAAGTTTCAAAATATACTATGGTTTCTAGTAGTCCAACTTTCTGACGAACCAGTAGCTGGTCAATCTGAGCTAAATATTCCAATCCAGGTGGACAGTTCCACAGAGCTAGTGATGCTGGCATCCACGGTCCCACTGCAGGTCCACAAGGCTGACTATGTCCAGGAAAGTTGCCTGGACCAGCAACTGCGTAGCTAGCTGGTGGGTCTAGATAGCCAGCCTGGGGCCCTGGATAACTAGGGTAAAGTTGAGTATTTCTAAGTAGTGGCCTGAGTTTTTGAAAGAGGCATTTACAGATACTGCCAACTTTGGGATCCAGTTCCCTTTAGACCTTGTGAAAATGAAAGCTGTGGGGCCCAGCATGGTAGTCTAGCGGCTAAAGTCCTTGCCTTGCACGCGCTGTGATCCCATATGGGGACCAGTTCATGTCCCACCAGCCCTGCTTCCCACCCAGCTCCGTTTGTGGCCTGGGAAAAGCAGTAGGAGACAGCCCCAAGCCTTGGGACCCTGCACGCATGTTGGGAGACCCAGAAGAAAACTCTTGCTTCCTGGCTTTGGATCTGCTCAACTCCAGCCATTGTGGCCACTTCGAGAGTGAACCAGTGGAGGGAAGATTTTCCCTTTCTGTCTCTCCTCCTCTCTGTATATCTGAATTTCCAATAAAAATTAAACTAAACTTAAAAAGAAAGAAAGAAAAGCTGTGATGCTCGGTGCCTGTTTCTTCACAGACTGCATGTTTTTTGAAAGAACTGGAGAACAGTGTCAAAGAGCAGGAATATGGTCATGAATTAATCAAAGTCTCCTAAACTGTGTATTGATCATGATGATCTAAAAAGATCAGTTTTTCTGTGTCTGATAACTGTGAATTAAGTTGTGATGCCTGTTGTTCCAATTATGTGATTTTTACCTTTCAAATCACAGGATTTATTTCAAAGGATAGGGCTTATTTATTGAATATCTGGCTTATATTTTTATACATTTTAGCAATATTTACTATGAATTTATGAGAAAGGACATGGGCAATTTTTGCATTTAGAAATGAAAATTTTGATTCAAACGATAGTCTGATTGATTTTCTATTTTTATAAGAAATTATTTATAGCCTTATTCAAAAGATTGAAACAGAATTACAAATTATTCCATTAAATGTAATTTTGACCTATTTCACCTCATAGCTAGCATTATTTTGCAAATAGCATAAATTGAGAACATTTAAAAATAGGTTTATGTTCAGATAATACTATTTAATACCTGTATTACCAAAGAAATTTTTTTGTTCTTCGGGAAATAACCTCTTATAAGCTAATCTATTATATAAAAAATGTAATATATAAAAAATAAGCATAAGGTTCTTTCCAAAAAAAAAAAAGTTTGAAGATGTAAGTACTCTAAAATTGAGCATCTTCTGATTTTTTAAGTATTTACAAAATATTTACTATGTTCCACTATTCCCAAAACAATGTAATTGTAACACCATTCAGTTACTAATTAAATAGAATGCATTTCTTCCTAAAATGTTTAAAAAATAATCTACTAGGTCATTTATCATAATAATCACATATCTGAAATAAAAGTATATTGCTTAAAAAAACTAAATCATAAGCAATTTGGACAACAGTCATATGACACAACATGTGGGGATAACCACAGAGAACTAAGCTTCAGATTCCCACCCAAGATAACTCCTCCACCCACTCACACTGATCTCTGGGCCCCAACAAATATGTTTACCCTAAAGATGCCCTTTTCCTGTGCCTTTCTGCAGACAGCTCCTATTTACTGCTGAAGACGTAACTCAAATTTCATCTTTCTAATAAACTTGTTCTGACCCCAATTCTCTGAAACAATGTGTTTCCTACCTCTTTTCCCAGTAGACTCTTGGTTTTCCACACTCCTTGTGGGCAGAATTTGGGCTCTACACATTCCCCTTTTTTAATCTTCAGCATGCGTATTAATATACAACTTTTAGAAGAGTCTATATTTGCAAGAAATATGCATGACATTGGTTCAAAATACTTAAGCTCTTCTTGGACAAAAATAATCTGACAATTTAAATTATAGTCAGTGGCAAACAGACATAAACAAATGTGTCTTTTCTCCTAGGGTTGCTAAACACTCTGTTGAGCGAAACTTTCCTCTAGTAGTAAGGCTAAGCCAGCATGTATTCAACCTGGTCATGCTCCACAAGGCACACTTAGTCATAAACATGAAAAATACTAACTTTAGGAGATTTTTGTTTACTCTTTCTGCAAATCTCTTGTAAGGCTAATAACAATATGAAAAAATTATGCACAAACAGTGACATGATAAAAACAGAGTTAATCAAATTGATACAGCTAACACAGATCATTTTAAAAACACATGAAAACTTGAATCTAGTATTACCAGAGCGAGCTATGCCACTGTCTCTGTCCTCATTCAGCTCCCTTCCAGGCATGTCCATTGGGTTGCTGTGAACTGTGAATCAAGACAGAATTCTAAGTTACAAAATACACTGTTATTCAGGTAGACATTGCTCCTTTATCAAACAGCAAATCAAATCATGCTAAACATAGTGCATTCCTTTATTCAGCAGCATGGCACCAACCCAACACCAAGAGCTACTACTCAGTTGAACAAGCTTTGAGAGCTATCTGAGTTCACAGATAGTATGAAAATAATCTACTCTACAGCATCTACAGATGAAAAGGGTCACCAAAATTTATATTGAGGAGCATACTCAATATAATACACTAAAAAAAGATATTAAACAGTACAAATGATGGTTCCTGGGGATAACATAAGCAAATATCATGTTCATTTGACCCATCCTACTTATATCAATGTTTAGAAACAAATATGGTATAAATTAAAAAATTTTAAATAGAAATAAATTTATTTGAATTCTATGGTCTTAATTTTAAAAATCATACTTATTTAGATGACAAAATGACTAACATTTGCTGTTTATTTTCCATTTTTCCAAATTTTCTATAATAAGTGTATTATTCATGTCTAATATTTTAAGGAAAATAAATCTTAATCAAAACAAGCAGAGCAAAAAATAAATAATAATCAAAACACAGATACCAAACAGAAAAACTAAGTAAATTTGTTGGCATTCTGATAATTATCTACCAGAATGTTTTCACACTAGGTGACTGCATATGAAATGTGTGAAAATATGGAACATCATTAGAGAACTGGATTTACAAGCATGAATATGCACTCTACAATCAATGCAATGATATAAACAAACAGACTCACATGCGCCTTTTCATGTAGGTTACAGCGGTACTTGTTCATCTAAGTCTTAGCTCCAAGAAAAAATTGCTCTCATGAAATAGTGTAGATCAGGAATTTTACAGTAACAGGATATTTCTGCAAGTGGTAACGTATGGTACAAAAGCTACTCAAGCCATGGAAACAAGACAGTGTCTGAAGCAGTAGTCTCAAAACTAATGCTCATATGAAATTTTGGTTTAAAATTCTGATGTTAAAATCATCTGAGACATGAAAACCTAGAATTTAAAAAATTTCCATTTCTGAAACTTCAATAACATTAAGTAGGAAGTAAGAATAAGTTTTCATACTATTCACGCAATTTTTTTTTTCCTTTGGCTACCGCCTCATCAAATGCATTCACATATACTCTCTTGTTTCCACAGCTTAACTACAAAGTCTAGCCGCTGGGGCACACCAGCTAGTCTACCCACACAGCACATGGCAAACCTGCAAAGAAAGAGGCGCTCCTGATCAGGCGGAGCGGACCCTGCTCAGAGAACGCCCGCCTGGGGCTGCAGAACTGTGAAAGACCTACATGGCGAAAACGTAAAATACACAGGAAAGAGGGCTGTTAGAGAAGCCACCATGTGTGAGAAGAAAGAGAGCAAAAGAACAGACCAACAGATATAGATGGATACTTTCAAATAATTCCAGATGGCTTCTTCCCTTTTTGAAACAAATGGTCCCCCTTTGGTTATGGTATACATCAAACAACAGTTTTATGCCTGTTTTTATAAATCTGTATATACTAGAAATATGTTTCTGCTATATGAGGTAAAACTATTTCAAATACTTAATGCTATAAAAGATTAGAAAAAACACACTAACCTACATATGTAATTTGGCATTTGCCAAATAAACTTCAAAAATGTCAGTTTTGAGATCATAGTACTGTCTGTGATTACAGTAAGGAGAAAACTATGTAAGCGCTTAGCATACAGCAAACAACAAGGAGCAAATAGAGAAAAACAATCTTATTTACAAAAAAATGTACAAAGAATTTTTTTCCTAACCTAATGATAAGTTATAAATCAATGGCACCAGGGACACCAGTGTGGCATGTAAGGATCAGAATCTCAGCAGGCAGGAGAAATGGCTGTTACACGCTTATTCAAGAGAAGGTAACAGTCTGAAGACCCAAGAATGGCATGACAGCCTGGAAGCAAGCAACTAGGTTACCTGTTAGTCATGCCTGATCAATTTAGTTTAAAAACAGTCACGTAAGAAATACACCTAAAACACAATAGCGGACTTACTGGTTTAAAAAGAGACAATTTACTTTTCAAATTCCTAAAAGATATTACATTTCTGTGATAATCTGGATAATCATAGCACATGTCTTCTATGTCTCAATGGTCAGCTTTTTCTCGAATTTTCTCTATGCTTACTTTGTCTTGTTAGTTCAAAACTTGGGTACTTCCTTAAGTTCTTCCTCGAGCCACATCTTTATTTCCAGGTTATGACTTTATTTTCTAGAGTATGAACATACATGCAAGTGTACAGATGAGAGCCTTCCTTTTCCTGTTACCTTTGCTTCTAAACTTGTTCAAACTCTCACTCATCCTTGCCTCCTTCGTACCTAAGAAGTAGTAATAGCTGGTGTCCTGGTCTCTCCACTTCCCTTCCAGCTCCCTGCTCGGGGACTGGGAAAGCAGACCCCCAAGTCCTTAGGCCTCTGCATCCATGTGGGAGACCCAAAGAAGGCACCTGGTTCCTGGCTTTAGATTAGCTCAGCTCCAGCCACTGTGGCCACTTAAGGAGTGAACCAACGGGTGGAAGATATATCTGTGTCTCTCCTGTCAATGTCTTTCAAATAAAAATAAATAAATCGTTTTTAAAATGAGGTAATAACACTTAATGTTATTCAGATTAATGATGTTAGTAATTTACTTAGTAAAAATTTCTGATATACCTCCCTCTTTCAAACCTTAATTTTAAGATAGGACCCCCAACTCCTTTTGCCTTCTTTAAAAATCTCCCTCTACTAATTATCCCATGCATCTTTGATTTCATCTTCCCTGCAACTTCTTTCCCACAAACATTTAAACACAAGCAATTCTGTTCTGCCTTTCTCCCAAATAGCTAATCTGACATATAGCAGTTCTCAAAATGTGGTTCAACAATCTAAGAAAACTCCTAAGATTCTTTAAGGTCCTCCATTTTCCGACTACATATCTGTGACAGAGCGTTTTCATGATACATTTCAACTAAAAGAACTTATTAAAAAAGACTGCATGCTGGAGTAAACATGTCTATGAAGCCAGACACTAAAAAAATCTAAATGCCTATAACAATGTTACTCTTCTAAGTTTTATTTGCTTAGGAAAATAGTTATTTCACGAAATACATCACTTCTGCTAACATAAAAAGATTATTAGTTTTAACAAACTACTAAACCCATACTTTCTAAAATTTTTAGTTTTACTTTGTAATACAGTTTGAACATTCTTTATCCAAAATTCTTGGGACTAGAACTGCTTTTCAAGTTTGCATGTTTTTCAGATTTCAGAATTAATTTGCACACAGACACTTTAAATTTACCATCCAAGGGCCCTGCATGACAGTCTAATGACTAAAGCATCTTGCATGCACCAGGATTCCATATGTGCACCAGTTTGTATCCTGGCGGGGCCACTTCTCATCCGGCTCCCTGCTTGTGGCCTGCAAAGGCAGTAAAGGATGGCCCAAAGCCTTGGAACCCTGCACCTGCACAAGAGACCCAGAAGAAGTTCCTTGTTCTTGCCCTCAGATCGGCTTAGTTCCAGCCACTGCAGCCACTTGGAGAGTAAATCAGCAGACGGAAGATCTTTTTTTCTATACATCTCCTTCTCTCTGTACATCTTCTTTTTCAATAAAAAATAAATACATCTTTTAAAAAAAAGATGGTATCCAAGTTTAACACAATTTTGGGTGTTAAATTACTTTCAGTTCATGTTTTGTATGCATCTTATACACATGTCCTGGAGGGAATTTTAATTTTACTCATTCAATACACAAAACAACATTTCATAATACCCAATTTTCCACTTGTGGTGTCACACCAAAATTTTGGAGTTTGGAGTATTTTAGATTTGGGATTTTCAGATAAGAGATGTTCAACTCATATAATGTACACACAAATAAAGGTAACCCACAAAGCAAAGCTGTCTGCAGTTCTCAATGATTTCAGCATTCAGAAAGGGGTCATGAGACCAAAACATTCAAGAACTGCTTCCATCTTAGAAAAAAAGATTCCCCTCTCAGTCTGTTCTCAGCTCTGCCTTCTGCTGTACTTGGGAATACTACAGACCTAGATCGACTTTTGCTTAATGAATGTTCATTATATTAGCCTCCCACTATCCAGTTTCACTTTCAAATGAAGTAGTGGTCCAAAGAGTTGTGTTTCCTCTTCCACAGTAAGAAGCAGTTTCTGGGAAGCAGCAGTTCAGGCAGAGACTGTTTCTAAACTTCCTATAGGTAGGCAGGGCTTGTTATTACTGAGTGACAAAGGAAGTGACAAAAATCATGTTCAGGCTGAGATACTTATTAAGCAGACATGCTTTTTCACATACATCATCTCTTTGCATTGGCTAGGTGCAGATTAACACTTTAGACCTCATGTGTTGAAAATGTTAGAACCCAAGAAAGAAGGAAATGAGATCACTGAAACACTCCTTAAAGAAAAACTATTCATCAATAAGGACTGGTTTTGGACTTTGGGCAAGTGAGGAAAAGCTTGATGAAACTTAAGTTTTAAGAACCTTCACTAAAATACACCTATAATGAATATATTCACTTGAATATACTACCAGTAACTTTAATTCAACATCCATAAACCTGAAGCCATGATTCTAAATCTTACTCCTATCAATGAATTGCACCAATACCAAGCAATTACACACACCCAAATAACAAAGTTTTATCCTTGATTCCTCTTTATGTCCTACCTCTTCCATCTAATTATTTAGTCCAGTTCACTCGCTATGTTTTCATGAATCTCTCAGCAACTCTGGATCCTCACCAACACATAACACAGTCTTACTTGAGGTCACCAATACCTGTCACTTGGGTTAGTGTAGTAGCCGTGGGAGATGGAGCTCATCCCAATCTCACTTGCTCACTTGAACCGTTCCCACTGCAGTTAGGATATTCTTTTGTAGATGCAAATGTGACCAGATCATGTTGCTGTATTCTTACAGTGTCTTTAGTTCTTGTCAATTCTTTATTTCTTTTCAGTTACTTTTCTCCTACTGTGTGTGTTATCCACAATGCTTGATTCACATTCTCTTCACTCCTTTTTCCTAGGTCTATGTGTGAAACACTATTCCTTGCTAGAACACTGCTGACCGCCAACATCTGGGTAATCCTTCAAGCCTAGGCCATGTGTCCTCAAAAAAGCATTCTTTCTCAGCTATCCAGGAGTGAACCAGGTGCTGCAGCTCATTTTTATCATACTTCATTCTTAACCCTGTTCATGAATTTACTACAGGATGCTATAGTAAATGCATGGTAAATATTAACTATAGTTAATATATAGTGATATACATGTTCTGTTACTTTTCTGACTCCCAAAAACTGTAAGTTCACTGAGGCAAAACTGTATAATTCACCTTTGAATACTAAATGCCAGCACAGTGCCTGAAATGATGTTTACTCACTGAATAACTGAAAATTCAAAGAGAAAGAACTGGTGTTCAAATACCCTCAATTCATATTTAGGAGTGTGCAAGTAAACATCCATGATTTAAAGTCAATTGTAAACTGGTTAGTGTTCTGTTGCATTACAAGGATGAGTATGTCTGGCCTTTATAGCAGGGCAAGGGAACATGAAGCTTAGGAGCCACATAATTTCCACAAAAATTTGTCTGGCCCTGGCAAGGCAACTGCAGGCAAGACTCCAAAATTCAATAAATCTCTGGCAGGTTAATTTTTCAAGTGATAATACTGTGTAAAGTCTATGAAAGAAATAAATATCTAAATGAAGTTTGCCAGAAAAATGAAGGTTCCCCATCCCTACATTACAGCAAAATTTACATAACACAAAAAGTACACTTTGTATTATTAAAACAAACGTATTTTAAAGAATCTATGGAGATTTAAGTATCAAAATACAAATAAAAATGACTCAGTTATTTTACTTTACTAAAATCAATGAAGTAATTAACCAGTGAGTTAAAAAAAAAAGTGGGACTTCTACATTTCCACAAAAGATACAGGTTATAAAGCACATACTTAACAGAGACTACGCCATACTAGGTGTTTAACAAATGGTTGTTCATCTTAACAAACATGAATTACATAAAATAATTGGAATATTATGCTGTTCAGTCAGAACAAAAACTTTCCTAATACATACTACTACTAATTATTTACTGAAATTAGTTATAAATAAAAGTTCTTGAGGCAGGCACTGTGACACACAGTGTGATAAGCTGTGCTACCTGCAAAGCTAGCATCACATATGTGTGCCATTTCGAGTCCAGGTTGCTCAATTTCCTATCTAGCTCCCTGCTAATGTACCTGAAAAAGCAATGGAGTACAATCCAAGTGCTTGGGCCCCTGCACCCACATGAGGAACCTGGATAAGCTCCCAGCTTCAACCTGGCCAGCCCCAGATGTTGCAGCCATTGAGCAATGAACCAACAGGATGTAGATGAATCAATCTCTCTTTGTCAATATTTAACTCTACCTTTCAAATAAATAAATCTTCATAAATATATAAATAGTTCTTCCTAAACAATGAGAATGATATTCATACTGCTCTATTTGCTGTATACTCCTTGAGCTACCACACTTCTTTACGTGAAAATATGGTCAAGCAACAATTTAAGTCAAGCTTTCTAGACAGAAACAAGAAACTTCAGAAAATTTCAGAAACAGTCTGCTACTTAAAAAAATACTCAACTCGATCTGTTCACCAAATTTTCAAATTAAGTTAATATTCTAAAAATTCTTCTAAAGACAGCAAATTGTACTAATTGTTCATCTGAATCACTTGTTTAAAAAACACTTTAAAACGGCTTCTATTTTAGGAAAAAAAAAAGAAAGACAACAGATTATGAGTCTTAAATTTAGAGAGCTAGTAAGGGGCTTTTCATATCAATTATAGTATTTACAAAAAAATACACCCAATTTGAAAGTAAAAACAAAAAACCTTAAAGAGAAATTAGATGTACCTTCAGCATTTTTCTCAAAGTACTATCTCCTAATATATGAAAAATGCTTTCCAACTAATACAACTGTTAAACACACTTTTATTTTAAATGCCTTGTTCACTTACATTCTTTAGTTTCATAACAAATGTATTTAGTTAACCTCAAAACCTTCCTTAACTTCAAAACCCTCCCAACTGTAAACATTTTTAAACTTACAAAAACCAAAGAACTATTTACCAATATTTCCTAGTAGTCCATTAATAACTGTGTTATTATCAGCCTTCAGCGTGTTACTGTCCTGATTGATGAATTCAAGACTGTCTTGCAGCCTATAGGAGGAGAGAACATTCCACATTCATTCTATTCATTCAGTGGCAATTCTTCACAAATGTCCATGAAATTTTAAGCGCAAAACACTTAAGTTTTACATTTCCCTGATTTATATATTAAACATAAACTATTAATGATAAGCAAGCATTTTAATCAAGGGTTTGCAAATTGTGTCTGATGACTCTTTCAGTCAAAGCAAAAAAAAAAATAAAAACAACTATTGGAACATGACCATTCCTTTCATTTATGTATTGTTTATTGTCACTTTAATGCTACAGAGTCAGGGATAAAAGGTTTAATACATCAATGTGTCATTAAACCAGAAATATTCATTACCTGGTCCTTTACAGAAAAAAAAAATTATTAACCAAAATTTAAATTACAATCAAGGTTTTGCCCTCATAATTTGGATCTGAAAAGACTTCTTAAATGTCTGCTGCGGGGGAAGAAGCATCATCTTGATCCAATTACCTACAAATTGTCTTTAGACCACACATTAAAAATGGTCGACGAAGTGGTCTTGCCTCAAGAAACACTCTGAGTTCCTGCCACTCTAACAGGAGACCAGTACTCAAATTTTCAGTTCCCAGCTTTGAGCCAACACATGTAATACCAGCATTTCATATGAGTGCTGGTTCAAATCCTGGTTCCTCCACCTTCATTCCAAGTCCCTACTAAAGTGCCTGGCAAAGCAACAGCAGATGGCTCAATTACTGAGGCCCTGGCACCTGTGTGGGAAACCAGGCCAGAGTTCCTGGCACCTAGTCCATGGCTTTGAGCTGGTCCAGACCTGTGCTTGAGCCACCTGAGCAATGAACAAGCGATGGAAGATCTTTTTCTTTCGCTTTCTTCCCCAGGACCCCTGTAAAACCCTAGCAAATAAATAATCTTGAGGTTGGGGGACATACTAGAAAAGATGAAGAAACTGAGATGATAAAAGCTAAAATCAGAGATGCCAATCTAAGATCTGCATCTGCGTTCATATTAAACGCTTTTAAAAATCAGTATTTTAGGCATCAAGGTATTTTTATGTGTTCACAATGTTTTGTAAAACAGTCATTTATTTCAGAGGCTGAGTCATAGAGGGAGGGATAAGCAGAGAGAGGCTTTCCATCTGCTGGTTCACCGCCAAAATAACTGTTAACAGCAAGGTCTGGGCCAGGTCACAGACAGGTACCAGAGCCAGGAACTCCATCCTGGTCTCCTATGTCGGGAGCAGGGGCTCAACTGGGCCATCCTCAAAAGCTCTATCAAGAACACTAGCAGGGAGCTGGATCGGAAGCATTACAGACAGGGACTCAATCCACACTCCTGTATGGGATAGTGCATTGCAAATGGCAGTTCAACCCAAAGCACCACAATGCTGGCTCCCAAGTGTATACACTATTTTAAAAGATGAGATTTTTCTTTTCTTCCTTCTTAGAAGAAATAACTATAGTAACTAGAAATTTAACTTCATAATTGCTGGAAGCTGAAGAGAATTTTTCATGTCTCAAGTAGTTTCCTTGTGGCCTCCTACTTCTTTGTGAACTTGGGTTGTCGTCTCTGGCACTCCTGACTAGTCAGCGAGCCCACTTTTGACATATTTTCTGTAGAATCCAACTCAGGGGTCTACTACCACCTAACTCTAGCCTCAGTGTTTCACCTGTTACATTATGACACATGCCTGCACTAATTCAGTCTTGCTACTCAAACCTTGTCAATAACAGCAAATGATTCTCCTGTGACCATCACATTATGTATTATACGTATAGACCCATATGGCTGTCCCCAGGTCACTTCAGTCTTCTGGGCTAACCAAGTATGTCCCTACAGATTCTGAGCACAAAAGCACAAATGGAAAATTGGTAGTATTAAACAATGAAGGAAATGAATTCAACATTTTATTTACAGATATACCTTTAGGTAAATGAAAGAAATGAAAACCACATCTGTCTTTCAACTAAATTCAAATGAGGAGGCAATCCAGCATTTAAAATTTTCAAACTAAGGAAGGGCAAAGAATTTAAATTTGTGATGCAATCCTAGAAACACTTCATTATTTTTATACCCTCAGCACCCATAAACACTTACGTATTTAGGCTTCCACAGATACTGCTACCAGTACGTGCAGTAAAAACCTTACTGAGCATCAGCTGTGGAGGGGAACTATCAAGAAAAAGAGAAGGTGACAAAGATATCAAAAGCGCAGTGACTTTTTTCTTGTTTCATTAGAAATAAAATTGCATAAATCAAATTTCAGAGCATGATACAAGAGCTATAAAGTAGCACTAAAACAATACAACATTATAAACAGCATCTGCCTTGTTCAACTGTGTGAGAATCACATAAAACTGCCTCTTCCTTAAAAAAACTGAACACGTAAAAACAGCTCCTTTTTTGCAACATCAGAAAACTCACCGGATCTGATGAATCTTTAAGGTGGATCCTTTGTAGCTCATTGCTACCGAGCCAAACATCATCTCCCCGAGCATGTTAGCATCAGAAGAGCACCGAGAACCCTAAATAATAACCACAGCATTCATAAATTTTCACCATTCAAAATCTGTGACTATTTCAAATATTTTTATTAAACTGATATTCGATTTGAGAATTTTCACTCCATGAAGTACATGCTGTTCTGTGACTTGATTTTCTTCACTTAATATAACAATTCTTGTACAGATTCCTTTTAAAATCTATAGATTTTGGGGCCCAGCACGGTGGCGCAGTGGTTAAGGTCCTCGCCTTGCACGCCCGGGATCCCATATGGGCGCCGGCTCTATCCTGGCAGCCCCACTTCCCTTCCAGCTCCCTGCCTGTGGCCTGGGAAAGCAGTCGAGGACGGCCCAAAGCTTTGGGACCCTGCACCCGCGTGGGAGACCTGGAAGAGGCTCCTGGCTTCGGATCGGCATAGCATCGGCCGTTGCACTCACTTGGGGAGTGAATCATCGGACGGAAGATCTTCCTCTCTGTCTCTCCTCCTCTCTGTATATCCACCTTTCCAATAAAAAAATAATAGAAAATAAATCTTTTAAAAAAAATCTATAGATTTTACTGTTTGAAAAAATCACATGGTTTATCAGAGCACTTCCCTTTGCTAATACGAGCTTTAGTCACTTCCAGATTTTTATTACCATAAATGATATTCAAAGGAATATTGATTTTTCTTTAATTTTACTTATTTATTCATTCATTCTTTGCAAAGTAGCACATCAGAGAAGGATGGATAGGGGACAGGTTAGAAAGATAGAGAGGAGAGAGAAAAAGAGAAACAGAGAGAATGAGTTTTCCAGCCTCTGGTTCACTCCCCAAATAGCGCAACAACCAGTGCCGAGCCAGGCCAAAGCCAAAACCAAGTACATCTGGTTCTCCCACATGGTAGCAGGAAACCAAGTACTTCAGCTATCACCATAACTTCCAAAGGTATGCATTACCAGGAAGTTGGTTCATACACAAAGGCATAAATCCATCCCAGGCACTCTAACACAGAATGTGAGTGCCCCAAGCAGCAGTTTAACACAGCACCACAAAGTCCACAAGTCACCGGAACATGCTTAACCAGGTCTTATGCATGTGCAACAATTCTCCAAAGCAGAAAACAAGAGTAATCAATAAACATACAAGAGTAATTTTGACTACTGCTATTATACAACTGAGGCAATTTGTATCTATTTTGTGTTTTTAAAAAAGGATATATGTATGATCTACTACTGAATGCAAAGTAACAAACTTTCACTGGCATTTGCTATAAAAATGAAAAACAAACAAAAAAAAAGAATCTCTTAAAATTCACTTGGGAGGACAAAGACCACAAATATCCAAACCAACCTTGAGAAAGTACAAAGGTAGAGGCATTTTTACTTCCTAATTTCAAAATACATCACAAAGTTACTGTTATCAAAACACTACTGTACCATCATAAAAGTAGAGGGACCAATGAACAGAATAGGGACCGAAAATAAATTCACAGGACAATCAAGTAATCTTCAAGGAGCTAATGTACCTGGGAAAACAATGAAACATGGCCTAAACAGTTCAGCCCCTGCAGTCACACAAGAAACCAGGATGAAGCTCCTTGGCTTTTGTCTGGCCCAATTCTGGACACGTTGGCCAATTGGAGAGTAAGTCAGAGGATGAAAGAGCTTTCTCTCTGTATGAACCTTTCTTTCTGTAACTCTGACAAATAAATAAAACTCTGAGCAAATAAATAAAATAAGATAATATATAATAGGGAGAGGACAATCTCTTCAACCAAAGGTAAGGCAATTGAATATTCACATGCAAAATAAAATTTGACACAGACCAGCATGGTAGCCTAGCAGCTAAAGCCTTTACCTTGAACTTACCGGGATTCCATATGGGCGCCAGTTCTAACTCTGGAAGCCCTGCTTCCCATGCAGCTCCCTGCTTGTGGCCTGGGTAAGCAGCTGAAGATGTCCCAAGGCCTTGGGACCCTGCACCTGTATGGGAGACCTGGAGGGGCTCCGGGCACCTGGCTTTGGACAAGTTCAGTTCAGCTCCAGCTACTTTGGCCACTTGGGGAATGAATCAATAGACAGGTCTTCCTCTCTGTCTGTTCCTCTCTGTATTTCTGACTTTGCAATGAGAATAAATAAATCTTTTAAAATAAAATAAAACTTGATACACAAGACAGAAAAATCAACAAGATTAAACACATTTTTAAAAGATTAATTATTATTGAAAAGTCAGCTATATAGAGAGGAAGAGAGACAGAGAGGAAATATCTTTCGTCTGATGATCATTCCCCAAGTAGCCACAACGGCCAGGGCTGAGCCGATCCGAAGCCAAGAGCCAGGAACAACTCCTAGGTCTCCCACACGTGTGCAGGTTCCCAAGACTTTGGGCCGTCCTCAATTACGTTCCCAGGCCACAATAAGAAGCTGGATGTGAAAGGGGCTGCCAGGATCAGAATCAGCATCCGTATGGGAGGCGAGCACTTTACCTCCTAGGCTATAGTGCTGGCCCCAAAGACATTTTTAAACGTAACACCTAACACTGCAAAACTCTTAAAAGAAGAAACAGAACAAAATATTTATGACATTGGCTTTAGCAACGATTTCACAACTTAGGCAACAAAAACAGAACAATGAGACTTTTTCAGATAAAAAGGCTTATACACAGCAAAGGAAACAGTTCACAGACTGAGAAGGCAAGCTGTGGAATGAGGAAAGTTATTTGCAAGCTGGATCTGACAAAGGATTAACCTCCCAAAACAACATAAGTCCCTACAATGCTATAGCTTAAAAAAATTATAACAATAAACAGATTTTGAGATGGACTGACTTAGACATTCCTCAAGGAAGTCATACAAATGAATGACAGTAAATCAAAACATCTCACACAACCATCAGCTTTGCTCTTATCAAAAATTAAGACAAGTGTTAGTAAGCATATGGACAAACTAGAACCCTTGCACACTGTTAATGGGAATGCAAAATGGTACAACTGTTACAGAAAACAGCAGGACAATTCCTCAAAAAAAAAAAGAGAGAGAGAGAATATTAACATATGATGTAGAAACTCTGCTTCTGGGTATTTGTCAAAGAATTCAGATCAGGATGCCAGAGAGGTATTAGCATTCTCACATTCACTGTAGACAAGCTGTAGAAACAACTTTAAATGTCCATCAATAGATAGTGTGTGCTATATAAGAGATTTCTGTCTGGCCTTAAAAAAGAAGAAAATTCTGTAAAATGCAACAACGTGAGTAAATCTTGAGGATACTACATGAGTCCCCGCAACATAAATACTTCCATGATTCCATTTAAAATTATTTGTAACAATCAAATTCATAGAAACAGCAGAACAGTGGTAGAACAAGGGAGAGAGAAATTGGAGTCTACTAACCAATGGGCATTAAGTTTTAGGCAAACAGTAAGCTCCAGAGAGGAGATCTGCTGTGCAATATTGCACATAGATGTAAACACATAAAGATTAGACCTTATACTAAGTGTCCCTATTGAGGTTTAATTTAAAAACCAAGATCTATTGAAAACATTAGAATGTCATATTTTCAGTGAATTCTTGATTAAAAGTTACTGCTTTCTATTATTGTTTGTCTTCACAGGAGTCAGAAAAATACCTAGAAACAAAATGTGATTACTATCTAGATGCCAAGGCAAATCTCATTAATAACCTACTAAATATCCACTAATATTCTCTATGTTTTTCAAGTCTGATTTGTCTAATTTGTCTTAGGGCATCAAAACATGCAATTGAAAAAAAAATGGCATTTCACAAACTCACCTAAGGATAGGAAATATGGATTCAGTTCTATGCCTCACAAGTTAGACTAACAGGAAAGCATGTTTCAGAATTATCTGGTTCATCCAGGGACCCAAGTGTTTGAACCATCACCTGCTGCCTCCCAGGATACATGGCAGCAGGAAGCTAGAATCAGAAGCTGAGGCAGGACATGAACCCAGGCACCCTGATATGGTATCTGTGCATCCCAAGAGGATCTGAACCTCTGTGCCAAATGCCTACCCACAGGGACTTGGCCCTTTTCTGAGCAATCAATGTCAGCTATATTTCATAATCTAACTTATTTCTGGCTTATGATGTAAGTGAAAGTCTTCCCTTTAAAGCTCATTTCATTTTAAACATTTATCTTATTCATCTGAAAGGCAATGCTACAGAAAGAGGGAGGGAAAGAGAGAGAGGTATATTCTCTCTGCAGTTCATACCTCAAATGGCCACAACACTAGAGCTAGGAGACAGAAAGTTCTTCTAAGTCTCCCATCTGGGTGCAGGGGCCCAAACACCTAGGCTATCTTCCACTGCTTTCCCAGGCACATTAGCAGAGAACTGGATTGGAAGTTGAGCAGCTGGGACTTGAACCAGCATCCATTTGTAATTCTAGCAGATGGTGGTGACTTAACCCTTAAGATGGTGACTTAACCCTCTATGCTACAATGCTGGCACTCAAAGCTCATGTTTGCTGTGCCTAACTCCATTGTTTACTAAATTACTTCTTACATTAGGTAAGCTATACGAATTTAAATATCAAGACATTGAATTTTACTACTATACAAAAGAATCCTCAAAAAGCAAAACACAGTAAAACACGGTTTGAATTTTATGAAGTCATAAAAGCTGCTACTGAAGTTCTTTTTGCCTGCCTTAATATATTCCAAGTAGTAAATATGAGTAACACTGTAACTGGTTTTAATAAGGTGCTACTATTATTTCTGCTTTTCATAATGCCTTACTTAAGAACTGTATTCTCTCCACATGCTAACTTCTGGGAGCTAATTATCTATCCTAACATGTATAAATCAAAGATAATTATTTAGTTACCCAAAATCAAATCTTATCAAATATAATGAACTATGTTACACCAATTCAATTCTTTTTGCTAAAAAGGAAAAAAAAATCGCTAGAGATACACAAAGTGAGATTACAACCACTATGTTCAGATTGCTACCATTGGTATCAGTTTGTTGATACTTATTTTTAACCATAAAATAAATGGAATAAAGAAAAGTTTTCAGTTATCTGAATTTTAAAACCTCCTAAATCTGAGAATGGCTTGAATGCTAGTTGTGCTACATGGCATAGCACTAGCAGGAATCTGTTCACCATTGTGTCTAGGGTGAATTAGAACTAAGAAAGGGGAGAGAGAACTGTCCATTTCTATCATCTAGATTGCACTAGTTTCAGAATCCTTGCATTAAAATATTGTCTTATTGATAAAAACTAACATCCATCAAAACATAACTATGTCATTACAAAAGCCTAAGATTCTGCTTTGATATTGATACATTTGAAACACTGGAGACTCATGCAAACTTGAATGACACAAATTTACATCAGATAACATCTGCTTAGCATGAAATTTATCGTATGTAAAATATTAACAAGTTTATAAAGAAGTTCTTAGCTACTGATTTAGCTACTGATGTGATGCCAATTTAGCTATTCTGTTTAAGATTACATTACAGCTGAAAACTAAAGATATGTAATTCTAATTATGTATTTCAGTTACACTTCAATTTCACACTACAGTGAACTTCATTCATATTTCCCATTTATCTTTATACTTCAATAATCAGAAAGTAAACAAAACTAGAATTTATTCTGGTAGCCCAATAAATCTGAATTAGGAAACAAAAAGAGAAAGACCTCTTCCTCTCTACACTGACATCTCTTACATTTTTCTTATGGCAAAATCTATCTCTACAGCAACAATGATAGCTCTAGGAAGATAATGTCTAATAACTGTAACACCCTAAAGTCCCTAAGAGGGGAATGTTTGGAAATGAGTTAGCAAACAAATGACATCAGTGACCTTACCTGGTACTTAGGACATTGGTCTTTTCCATCAGAAGACAAAGTCACAGAACTATCCAAAGAGGAAGAACTGTCTCCTCCGGGTTTCAGCTGGCAGCATTTCCCAAAGACTTTAACTTGGGCATCACTACAGAGTTTCTGAAACACATATAATACCCATTCATATTTTAACAAACTGTTCATCATAGCATAAAAAAAGGTTAAAAAGTCAAGGATAAAATAATTCAAAATAATACAATTTTAATATAATGTCCATTTTGATTTTGCCCTTTCATTAGCATTATTTTCACATAAGTACGACAATAATATCTACAGAGTCTGCACTCTACTTTTCTCACCAACATTATTAAATCATGAGCATTTTTCTATATTATCATAGCTAGCACATTCATTAACAGTGACAAACATAGTAAGACAGTTTTTAATTATCTGGTCTAAAATAGTGCTCTTAAAAGTTATCGGACATCTCAAATGCCTTGTTTATGTAAGCTGTAACTATTAATATTTTCCCTTGTTTAAAATTAAAACTGAGAAAAGCGGGTTGGCATTGTTGGGCAGCAGGTTAAGACGCCAGTACCCCATACCAAACTATTAAGTCTGAGCTGGTCTACTTCAATTGCAGCATCCTGGTATTGTGCCTTGGATTATGGTGGGTGATGATCCAAATATCTGGGTGCTTGTCACTCATGTCAGAGACCTGGACAGGGTTCCTGGCTTTCGGCTGCAGCTTTGGCCCAACTCTGACTGTTGGTGACTATTTGGAGAACTGAAGCAGGAAACAGAAGACAGCTTGCTCCCTCTTGCTCATTCATTCTCTCTCTCTCTCCCCCTTCATTCCTCCCTCATGTTCTTTCAAATAAACATAAAAAATTTTAAAAAGAAAACACAGCAGATTTTAAAGTAGTCAACAAACTCATTTAATAAACCCATCATGAGTTAACATACTAACATTGTAAGAAAAATGTTGGAATGGAAGGAAATAGATGAGAATTTTGTATCTTGCTATATGTACATAAATGTTTACTCTTTTGAAATTGTATCCATGTAATAAAAAGTTACATTTTTAATAAGAGATTAATTTAGGTCCATAACATTGTACAGACTAGTATGAAAAAAGCTTTCTTCTTTTTCTTTTCTCATTTCCCCTAACCCATCAACAAACAGGTTCCAGAACTTTCACTCTCTATAACTATCAAAGTTACAATTCATCAAGGTCTGTAACACACCTAAAAACACACTCCAGGGCTTCATCAGTGGCCAGTATGTTCACTTATCTATGTATCACTCATTTCAGGTAGATTTGTACAAGTATTTCCGATTAAAACACAACACTGTAAAGACTGATTATTTGTGGGAGCCCAAGAGCTATGCTATCACACCAGCCCTGTCTACTAGACACTCTACAAAAAATTAATAGTTGGTATTATGCATTATAAAAATGTTTTCCAGGTTGCCATTCAATATAGGATGTGGCTTGTCCCTGGGAAATAAAAATCTCCACATTTTTCAAAAACTATGTCAAATTTATTAATCTTACTTTATGGTCTCCAGATTTTATATCATAACCTAGACTAGTCTTCTCCATCCCACAGATATATATGAATTTACTCACGCTTTCTTTTGTAATACTACAATTTTAATTTTTATAATGCTTAATACACTTAGTCTTATCCTTACTGCACACAATGAGATATAAATCCAAATTCTTTTTTATATAATGTTCCCAGTACCAATTTATTAAGATATAAGATAGTGTAAGCAACATATACCAAACTCCTACATGTATGCGGTTTGCGGATGATTCTATTTTCTCTTACTATTTATGTGCCAACAATATACTTTTTAAAAAGGTTTATTTTGCTTATTTGAAAGGCAGAAGTGACACAGGGAGAAACAAAGAGAAAAAGATTTTCAATCACTAGTTTATTCCCTGATAGATACCAACAGCTGCAGCCAGGTGAACCACACGGAAGCCAGGAGCTTGAACTCCATCCTGGTCTCCCATGTGTCTAACAGGGGCCTAAGAACGTGGATCACCTTCAGTTGCCTCTCCAGGCACAATGTCAGGTAAGTAGAGCAGATGGGACTTGAATTGGTGCTCTAACATTGGGTGCCAGTGTTGTAGATGGTGGGATTAACTCAGTACATCACTATGTGGGTCCTCTAATAACATACAGCCCCAATGCCTGAACCTGTGTCACCCCCATGGGAGACCTGGCAGGAATCCTGAGTTCCTGCTGTCAGTCTAGACCAGTCCTGACTGTGGCAGCCACTGGGCGAGTGAATCAGAAGACAGAGGATCTCTTTCTCTGCATCTCCCTTTCAAATAATTAAACCTTTGTCAAAAACAAATGTAATATAGATTTTTTCTAGCTTTTTTGAAGACTCCTGTAGCACTACATTATTACTGACATAAAATACATAATAGACCACATTAGATCCACTGGCAACATGAGAATTTAAGAAAACTACATAGCTTTATCTTTTATAAACATGGGAGGATCTGTTTGCAGGACCATATTTAACTTGGCTAGGATATAAGGCTCAACATTTTCAACAGAATCTTACAGAGCTGGAAAACATGCTCTAAGAAAGTTATACATCGACATAAGTTTATTTCAGCCTCTCAGTGTTATCTGGATATGCAAAGTATCTTGTGCTCTAATATTTATGTAGCTTACTACATGCAGAATTCAAATGTAATAAAATACATTTCCCCCTTTCCTCTCATAATCCATTAAATATGCCATGCTTTACTTAACCCTATAAAGTACTGTCATGTTCCTCATAAATAACTCCTTGGTTCAACTAAACACAGAAATAGATCCATATTCCATTGTGAAATATTATCTTCAAGTCAGCATCAGATAAAGCATTCAACAAGGTGAATTATGATAAATCATTATCTTTACAATCAAATTTGTTGTACATCTTACACGTTTAAAGAGGTTTTTTAAAATTTTTTTTAAGATTTTTTTTTTAATTGTAAAGTCAGATATACAGTGAAGAGAACAGAGAGGAAGCTCTTCCGTCGTTGATCCACTCCCCAAACAGCTGTAACAGTCTAAAGGGCTTTTTAAGTATTTCTACAATGGTCATTTTTAAATGCCAATATTGCTTTGAAATAAACAAAGTTCATTAACTTAATTTTAATTCAATTACTAATGCTCAAACTCATTGCGTGAGCACAAATATTACTTTTGCATCTGCTTAACAACTTTCAAATTAATTTTTTCTAAAATGACCCTAAAATTCAGATTTAGACAGATAGTAAACTAAAACACACATCCTTATTCCTAAATAAAAAATGCTGATTTCTTTTTGGTCATGAGAGGGGAGTAACATAATTTGGTAAGCCTCACATTCTAAGGCATGGCTCTCACCCCATTATAATGTATGATGTGAACCTTAAAAAGAAAAATTTCAATAAAAATTTCAGGTAAACTGCATGGCCAAAATAATACTCAGAACCATATTCTCTCTTATAGACTCCTTTAAACTAAAAAAGATGATTTACACTGAGAAAGAGAGAAGACATTAAGAAATTACTTAAACATAGGCTATGGCAGAATAGAATACTGCTACATAAACGCAAAATGCTGAATGATTTGCTTATTTCCAGACAACTGCTAATGCCTAAACGACTTCATCATTTTATATGGGATCTAAGACACCATTTCCATTCTTTGCCAATACAGAACCCAGAAGATTTGATGTTCCAACAGTACTGGTATAATAAAGCAGATGAAAAAAAATCACTTTAAGGCTAAACCTGTTTGCACTTGCAACAAGCAAGGGGTATTGCAATGTGTTCTGCGGTGCTTAAAAAGGACGTAACAAAATCTTCATGGGAGTATCAGAATTGTGTTAATAAACTTCCTAACTATTACTACAATTAACAACAAAAATATATCCCCCTTCATGAAGATGAATAATGGGCCAATTTTTTTACTTTCAATTTTTTTTTCCCAATCCAGTAGTAAACACATACAAACATAGCTATGGTGTAGAGGTCTATGAATAGAATAAAAAATTATAAAAGTTCTGGTGGAATAGAGTAGAAATATCCTTAGATAAAATATATCTATTTAAAATCAAAAAGGACTCATTAAGTTGTGACAATGAACTACCATCCCAGAAAAAGTTGGGCAGGGACTCTTCAAAAGACAGACTGAGCCCAGGCTCTCAAGACTGTTTAAACTCACACAGAATGCAGAAACCCTTAATAAGCAGCACTCACCAAAATACACAGGAAAAGAGGTGGTGCAGGCTGCGGTGCAAACAGATACTACGAACCATAAAGATAAATCTCAACAAAAGTTTGCTGAAAAAGTTTGCAGTTAATCTGTCAGCATCAGGCAAATTCTACTGATGTTAGCTGCCTAAGTGTAAGTAACACATGCTTATCACATCTGTAACTAGCCACAGATTTGACTGACTGCTTGATCACATTCCATTCCATTTTGTACCCCTCTGGCATGTCATAACTCAGCTAAAACCAAAATATCAGACTCATCAAACATTTCTGTCTCCAACATCTAACTACTTTACATGCAGTTGCCAAAGTCATGTTTTGAAATGTAAGCTAGATTCAGTCTTCCTTCCGTATTTAGAATATACCTAAATTCAGACATTTATCAGTCTGAATTCTCGGCTCATAACACATCTCTACCCAATTTTATTTGCAGTCACGTTCTGTATTATTTAATATCATTTCAGGAAGATGGACTTTCTATTAGTTTCATAAATTCACCATGCCCCAAAGTCACTTTGCAAACTCTGCATTCTGATCTCCCTAACAGGAATATTGATTCCTGATAGCATGCCTTCCTTTCCCCTCTCCCCCGCCCCAGATTTCAGCTTTAATTTTACTAAGATGTTCATTAATAGCCTTATATTTACACTGGTAAAAAAAAAAACAACTATGGTTCCTTCCTTCCTATTAGCATCTTACAAGCATTCTGTGTCTTTCATAGTACTTAATCCCAATATAAAATTCTGTGTGTGTATGTCAGATTCATTTACTTATTTGAAAGAGTTACAAAAAAAAAGAGGGAGAAACAGAGAGGAAAGACAAGTCTTCCATATCCTGATTCATTTCCCAAGTGGCTACAATGGTCCAGGCTGAAGTCAGGGGCTTCATTCAGGTTCCCACGGGGATGTTAGGAACCCAATTACCGAGTCATCTTCCACTGCATGTCCCAGGCCATTAGCAGAGAACTGGATCAAAGTAGAATAGCCAGGACATAAACTGGTACCCACACACGATGCGAGCATCACAGGCAGATTTACTGCAGTATCAAAACAATGGCACTTGTGTACTTATTTTTTAATGTCAGCCTCCCTAGTGGAAGCCAAGGGGGAGAGACTGCTAAATCTCCAAATGCCCAATATTCCGTAGATACTTGAGACATTTATATAAACAAATGAGTGACTCTTACCAGATTGAAAACAGTGACCCGAAAATGAGTACCAATCTAAACAAATCACAATGTCCAGTAAATTGAAAAATGTGTTTGCCAGTAATCACAGGAACATTGTAAAACATTAAAACAAGTTTCAAAAAATAAGTTCAATATATGCCACTCTACTATATGCTAAGGATGTATTAAAACAAGTCTATCACCAAAATGTTTCTCAGAACACAAAATTTCAAATATATACTCTCAATTCTCCAAGAATAATGTTTGACAATTCTAAAAGGGAAAACTTTCCCAAAAGAATTTTTTTGCATTTACTAAAATGTTAATAAATATTGTCAATTCAGTGAAGGATGAAGACAAAATTCCAGATGTTCATTTCCCCGTGGACATTTCCCCATTTTCTTCATGTGTAAAAGCTTAATGCCTATTTAGCAGCACAGAAAACCACTGATCACCAAGTGATCTAAGTCTTACTGTTAATGCTATCACAAGATATTTTAAAATGCCACACTAAAAGTTAACAGGAATGATGATCTTGCCTCTAAGTTTAGGGTACAAGAAAACATAAGTGAAAACCTGACTTGCTTAATTTCACTTCTCTAGGTTTCAGTTAATAATTATGAAATGAAAGGACTAGATTAGATTCTTCATAAGTATCCTACAGCTCTGGTCACATCTTTGAGTATCACCATAAAAGGAAATAAATGTCAAACTAAAATACTTTCTGGCTAGTCTGAGGACCAAAAAACTGCAAATCCCTCCCCCTCCACACCAAAAAGAGAAAATCTCAAAGTTAAAGATGGTTTATATTGACAAATAAAAGTACTACTCAAAAGTCTAATTATTTTTGAATTATTAAATATGCAACAATAACTTTCAACCAAATCAATAATGATGCTCACCGACACCGACATGTCCTCATTTTTTCTCTTAACACTGGAGTCAAACAAAACATTTCTCCCTCGTCTTTCACAGTCTTGATATACAATCAGTCGGATTTGGTTTGGGTCAAATTCTGACAAAGGCCAACTTTGGAAAAAAAAAAAAATAAAGATCCATTAGAGTTCCTTTTACTGATATTCTTCATACACTCTTAGAAACAAAACATTAAAAAGATAAAATGTGCATTACTGACAGCAGATCCTTATATAAAACATTCCATCTTACTGTGGGCTAAAAATTAACACATCCGTGAAAATTTGTATTAAAACACAAACACAAAAGCAAAATTAAAATTTTATTTAAAAATTAAGACCATCCAAATAGTCATCCCATATAATTCCACAGAGAGTTAATAAACACATAAGTAATCATATATGGACAAAATGAAAATATTTACTCTATGGCATATGCCAAAATCAACCCATATTTTAAAACAGCTTTCTTGGGAGAGGCATTTGGTACAGCAGCTAAGGTGCTGCGCTGTGTGCTTAAACCCCGTCTTGGAGGGCCTAGGCTAAGTCCCAGTTCCTAGGCTAAGTCCCAGTTCCTTGATGAGTTTCTGACATCAACAACAGTTAAGGAGGATACAATTCTTCCCTCTTTATTTGAGCCTGACCCAGATATGGCCATTACAGCTATTTGTAGAATGAAGCAGCAGATGGAAGATCTCTGTGTATCTCTCCTGCCCTATCAGTCACTCTTTCAAACCAATAAGCCTTAGGAAAAAGAAGACAGTACAAGAGTAAACAGGGATTATCAGATAACCAAGATGCACGTCGCCTTAGGCAGAAAAGGTGAGGTTAACAAGAAGTTTTTTCCTACAAGAAAAAAGCATGTATACATAAAAACGTATCTGCTTAAACGTACATAAAAGAAAGCAGTACATATTTAAGGCATATATTTCCAAGTTGAGGGAAAGGAATCCAAAAAAGAACACAGAGGTCTCCAGACAAAACCTGGCTGCTTTGCCACTACAGACTAAACCACTGCCTACAATGAGGGCATCCCGAATCAAGATCCACTTGCTCCACTTTGGCTACGACTCTCGGCTTATGTACATGAGAAAGCAGGGAAAGGCGGCCTGTTTGGGGACTCAGTATATGCACCACATTCAGCCATTCACCACTACTTGTCCCTCTGCTTCCTTGATGCTCGCTCGGCCTCAGCACTCAGTCTTCAGAATTATATTTGACATGACATCAGAACCTAAGGCATCTGATAACAAATCCGCCATGCTTTCTACTTACTATACTGCCTCTTCTTCTTCTTAACTAAAATTTAACCAAAAGCACGCTGAAACTAAATCCTTAACTGTGGGAAGCACACCACAATCACTTTCAAAACTTACATATATGCTATGGCAAAACTTCCTTCAATATTAAGTTATAGCTTGCAGCGCATAAACTAAATTTTGCTAAGAAAATCACTTGGTGATGAACCACACACACTATTTTAAGATACTGTACAGATGTTATTTATAGTTTAAGTCAGCTTATCTACTCTGCATGTTTATCTGACACCTTCAAAGAATGCTAACAGAAAACAAGCATGCTGGGACACTCACTCCCCTATATGCACTGAAACTGCACCTCAGACCGCCACATGGACTTCATTAACACATTACTGACAATGAAAATAAGGTTAAACTCTCACATTCTCAATGCAAGTGAGATTGCTTTTGTGGAGTAACTTGGTTTTTGAAAGGTTAAAGACAAGGGAAAAATTAGATTAATAATGGGTTAGGGGCCTGGTGCAGTAGCCTAATGGCTGAAGTTCTCGCCTTGCATGCTCCAGGATCCCATGTGGGTGCCAGTTCATGTCCCAGCAGCCCTGCTTCCCATCCAGCTCCCTGCTTGTGTCCTGGGAAAGCAGTCGAGAATGGTCCAGCTTCTTGGGACCCTGCACCCATGCAGGAAAATTGGAGAAGCTCCTGGCTCTTGGTTTGGGATCAGCTCAGTTTTGGCTGTAGCGGCCACTTGGGGAGTGAACCAGTGGATGGAAAATCTTCCTCTCTGTCTCTTCTCTCTGTAAAATTTGCCTTTCCAATTAAAATACATAAATCTTTTTTAAAAAAATAAAAATAACTATTTAAAGAAAAAGAGAATGGAGGCCCAGCACGGTGGCCTAGTGGCTAAATGTTCACTTGCATGCAATGGGATCCCATATGGGTACTAGTTCATATCCCAGCTGCTGCACTTCCCTTCCAGCTCCCTTCTTGTGGCCTAAGAAAGCATCAGAGAACGGCCCAAAACACTGAGACCTTGCATCCATGTGAGAGACCCAGAAGAAGCTCCTGGCTCCTGGCTTTGGATCGACTCACCTCCAGCCACTGTGGCCACTTGGGGAGTGAACCAGTGTACAGAAGATCTTTTTGTAAATTTGACTTTCCAATAAAAGTAAATAAATCTAAAAAAAATGATTGGGTTAGGGCCCTTCAAAGGACTACAGCACCTAAAGAAATACATAGTATATCTGTGGAATTCAAATTTTGCAGGAAGAAGGCTAAAGGAGATTAAGAACAAGGGCACAGGGCTGGCCCCGAGGCAGAGCAGATACAGTCCTCGGTTGTAGGACCAGCATCCCTCGTGACTGCTGGCTTATGTCCAGCTCCAGCTTCTTGTCAGGGATTGGAAGAAAGAAGATGACCCAGATGTGTAGGTGCCTGCCTGCTCCACAGAAGGTCTGGGAGAAACTCCTTGCTCCCGGCCTTCATCCTGGTCCAGTCCTGCCAGTGGCTATCTGCAAGGCGCATGAGTGCATGGAACACCTCTCTCCCTGACTCTCACTCCCTCTCTGGAACTCTGACTTTCAAATAAATAAATATATAAATCTTTTTAAAAAGGGATATAAAAGCTCACTCTCCTGAGAGGGGATGTCAATAAGAAATAAAAGGCTAAACACTAGTTTACATCTGAATGCATTAACAATTGCCACCCTTAGAGAAACTACCAAAACAATTGATCTTTTCCGCCTTGTGATCAACTTCTCATTAACCATTTTAAAACTGAATTTATTGCATTTGTAAATACATATGCAACTGATCTCTTATCTCCAGCCTATTTCCATTTCGTCATCCATATATTTCATTTTTATATAGCATCAAAGAATCTTACTACACAATTTATTTAGCAAACATGAAGTATTTCTTAGTTCAGCCACCGAGTAACTATTAGTAAAGTACCTATTTAGTATCCGACGTCACTTCATTAGTTCTTTCCTGAACCTTATTCACCCCTGAGATGTCTCACTGAAATGCAATCAGCAAGATGAGGCCGACTAGTCCTAAGGAATCCCTAACACACTACGCTGCTGCAGAGAAATGGGAGCAGTGGAGCCGAGTAGCAAAAGCTGTGCATGCAGAAACAGGTAAACCAGCACATCCACTTCTCACACTCTCCTAAACAACAACAACGACATTCTGAGTCTGATGAAAGGGGAGAGAGGAATAAACATGAAAGACTATTAGTCCAAAACACTAAGTTAAAAGCTTTTCCAGTACAACACCAACATGCCAGGAACAAGTACCAGCAGACAGAAGTATCAGAGCCAATTGGAGAATTGTTTTCTGATTATAGGTAAAGTTAAGAGTTCTTCAAAAACCTGGAAATAAATTTTTAATTAAACAAATATGCCAATGTCAAGCCAATTTTGAAGCATGCCCTGTGTTGGCAAAGTAATTTTTTAAAAAGGTTTATTTATTTTTTATTTTTATTGGAAAGTCAGATATACAGAGAGGAGGAGAGACAGACAGAGGAAGATCTTCCATCCACTAGTTTACTCCCTAAAAGACGACAATAGCTAGAGCTGAACCGATTCAAAGTTAGGAGCCAGGAGCTTCTTCTAGGTCTCCCACAGGGGTGCAGGGTCCCACGGCTTTGGGCCATCCTCAACTGCTTTCCCAGGCCATCGCAGGGAGCTGGATGGGAAGTGGAGCTGCCGGGATTAGAACCAGCGCCCATATGGGATCCTGGCACATATAAGCAGAGGATTTTAGCCACTAAGCTACTGTGCTGGGCCTGGCAGAGTAATCTTACAATGCTATTCTACTTTATATAAATTTGGGGTGGTAACACACAAAAATAATATTCATCATTCCTTCTGTAAAACATGGTGCATTTATACAATACATATAATTTTTTTAAATTCTCACCTCAATTGACCTTTTCTACAAACCCACAAGTTAGATTTCTTACTTGGCATATAATCAAAAACACAAACGAACTGCTTTCTGGATACTTGCAGTGTTTCTATGTGAGAGTAGTAGTGACAGATTCATAAGATACACATACACCGCATTCAGCATAATGGCTCCGTGGCTAAATCCTCACCTTGCTTGTGTTGGTATCCCATTAGGGCAACACTTCATGTTCCAGCTGCTCCACTTCCCTTCCAGCTTCCTGTTTATAACCTGGGAAAACAGTGGAGGATGGCCAAAGGCCTTGGGACCCCACACCTGTGTGGAAGACCCAGAGGAAGGCCTCTGGCTCCTGGCTACGGATCAGCTCAGCTGGCACTGCAACCACTTGGGGAGTGAACCAGCGGACACAAAATCTTTCTGTCTCTCCTCCTGTCTATAAATCTGCCTTTACAACAAAAATAAAATAAATCTAAAAAAAAAAATACACATATACCATGGTGCTGTGGTGTAACAGGTTAAGCCTTAATCTGCAGTCCTGGCATCCCATATGGGGCACTGTTCAAGTCTTGGCTGATTCACTTCAGGTCAGCCTCCTTGCTAATGTGTCTGGGAAAACAGTGGAAGCTAGATCAAATGTTTGGTCCTCTGCATCCCTTGGAGAGACTGGAGGTAGTGCCTGGATCCTGGCTTTAAATTGGTCCAGCTCCAGTCACTGCAGCCATTTGGGCAATGAACCAGCAAATGAAAGATCAGTATCTCTTTTTTCAATCTCTCTCTCTCTAATGAATCAGATTAAAGATTGATATTTTTCAATCTCTCAATTTCTCTTTCTCTCTGTATCTCTCTGTAATTATGTCTTTCAAATAAAAACAAACCTTCTAAAAAACAGAGGTCATGAATGTGTGTGTGTGTGTGTGTATGTGTTTAACCTGAAAGGCAGACAGAAACA